AGTTCTGTCAATGATATACTTAACACTAATTTTGACAAACCTTTACAAAATATAAACAAAGCATAAACTTAGAAATAATAAATGGGTAGGCATGTTTGCTAATTTAGCGGTTTTGACCAAGAACTAAGCTTACCTCAACACACATTTATTTTAATTTTCACATTTCACGGAGGAAATTTCCAAAATTCCAATCAGGGAAGCCATTTCTCACCACAATTAACCACAAGACCAAAGCTACTTTAGTAAACCAGTATTTATTCAAAACAATTATGCTTGCTGCCCTTAGCCACAGAAAACATTTAGCAGATACCCTATACCTATGGAGTGATTCAAATTATTTATTAAAAATAGCATCAACAAAGCAAACAAAGGCAAACAACAAACTGTTTTAAATCTCTCACATCAAATCTTTGAAAGCCCACTGGGCAGAGCCCTAGGACAATATCGAAGCGGGAATAGTTCTATATGTATCCTCGGAACTGTAAAATTGTTTGAAGGCCGAGAATTTTGAATTTTGGCTCTTACCAACATATTTTTTAAATTTTATGGCCTTTTAAAAACAACACGTGGTGGTCTGGAAAATAATTTTTGAGTACTGGGAGAAGATTTCAAAATATTGAATGCTACTTTCATTACACTGTTTATCTTTTGTAGCCCAGGATAGTTAGTATTGAGTTATAAATTTAGGATCACTTGAAAAACTATTATCTTGGTTGAGTTTTTTGGGGTTTTTGATCTGATTGGATATTAGTTTTTGAGGATAGCCTCTTTCAATGAAAGCAGAATTCAATTTAGTGATATATTTTTCAAAATCAGATTTCTCACAGCAGAGTGTTTTAGCTCGAATTGATAAGCTTTTTGGAATTGATTTTTTCATATACATAGAGTGACAACTTTGATAATGTAAGTACTGCATTTTGTTAGTTTCTTTTAAATGAATTTTTGTTTTAGGTTTTTGATTGTCAATTATCTAAGAAAGAAATAATTTTGTCTGAATAATTCCAAGTGAATTTCAAGCAAGAAAATTGGTTTAAATCTTGTAGAAATTCTTTTAGTGAATTTATTCCGTGTTGCCAAACAATAAAGATATCATCTATATATCTTAACCAAAGAAGAGGAGTTAAAGGATTGTTTGAAAGAAAATTTTGCTCTAATAGACCCATGAAAATATATATGTGTGTGTGTGTGTGTGTGTGTCCATCCGATAACTTGAGTAATTTTTGTCAGATTTTGATAACATTTGGTATGAAGGTGTAAGGCGGGATACACTTGAACGAGTTCGCGAACCCGCATAATCGGACTATGGGAACAGGGGTTTACGGGGTGTTTAATGGGGTAAAAATAAGGTTTTCCCATTTTTGACAAAAAAACATAAAATTAAGCAATTTCTTTTCAAACCATTTTGTAGAGCTTAAAAAACAAATAATTTAGTATATTGAAGCGTTATTAAGCGCCTAAATGGTTACGGAGAAAGAAAAAAATGTAAATTTAAAATTCCCATGTTATTCTTATGGAGAACAAGTAAACTGTTGTAGTTTGCTTGTTTATGAACATCTATATAAATAAAATTACAGTTTTGTCTGTACATTGCTTAGAATCATGCAGTTTTTGGTCATTTTTACGTTTCATAGCCTAAGAAAGCCGAAACGAGTCTTATCTCAATTTCTGTCTGTTGTCTATCTGTCTGTTTGTCCATTCTGTGACTTCGTCTGTAACGCCAAAATGTCATTTTACGCGGCCTACTCCTTGAAAACTAGAGTACAGATCAAGATTCCAATTACTTTTCTGTATTCACTGGATTGGTGAGAGTGTCTTTGGCTATTAAAATATGGCCTAACTACTTTTGAAAAAATATAACAAACAATCAAAAACCCCATTTTGTTCGATTTTTGTCAAATTTTCCCCCAATGTTTACTATTACATTTTATGAAATAACTATCAGCTGTTTGGATTAGTTCTCATTTCTAGCTGTCACTGATATGTTTACATTAAATACTGTTTACAAATACCGCAACCATTTCCGATAAAGTTTTGTTAGCACATCCAAACCAAGTTAGATTAAAACCGTTGTGCCTTACTTAACCGGTTTAATTAATCGCAAGTGCAACGATTGTTCTTAAGTTTTTATAACCGGGGAAAATACTGAGAATCAGTGTTGTGAATCAGTGCTGGGAAACTTACATTTTTTTAATCATCGTCACCAATAGTTTAAACAAAGGTTTCCATTCAATGACGGCGTAACAAAGACAGTTGTGTAAAGTGCAAAGTAAAAAATCAACTGCAGTGGGTGATCGTGGATGTTTCTGTGATCTTGGAAGATCTTTCTAATTTCACTGTGATCGTAACATATGTTTAACTTACAGATGTAGCTAAAATCGCAACTCGCTTTTTCCAATGTGTCACTTTCGGTTTCTACTTACTTACATTTCGACAACGACATCGGTACTTTTTCTACTTAGGAACTCAGTTTTGTTTTATTACTCTGAGTTAGGAAGTAAAACTACAAACGTCCAAAACCCCAGATTTGTGCGTTTTTTTGTCACATTTCCTCCGAATGTTTGCTAGATATGTGTACCGATTATAGTTTAGAGATTACGTAATCTTTTAAAAAATAAACCTTTGTTTGGAAAAAGGTGGTTTCTTCAAACTGTCATTAATATGTTAACATTAAAAGTTGCTTACAAATAAATGGGAAATAACTATAATTTTCGAAAACTTAAAAAATTTAAAACCAAGGTAGATTAATAGCTTCGGTACTGCACCACATCAAGTGAATGTTTTTTTTAGCAAACCATATATAATAATATAATAGTGAGTTTTTAAAGCTTTACGTTGTTAACGTTACATGTTTTGTGGCCTGTGTATTTATTTATTTATATATTTTCCAACGAATTACCACGAATTAATACAGTTTGATTAGAAGGACAGTTTGAATTGGTCGTAATCGTAAGTACTATAGTTCTTTTCTTGGTTTCTTGGTTCTTTGCTTTGGTTAAAGCGTAGTAAATCCCCTAATTAATTTCTGTATTTGTGTGTGTAAGCCTGTTGGTAACGCTAATGTCCTTATTTCTCAGTGTTTCGTGAAAAAGAGCACCTTCGTTAATGCAAATTTCAACCCGAATAAAGTGTGCAGTAGTGAGGTTGAGGTAGTATTTTTACTACTTTTAACCAGTGTGAAAAGTAACTTTCAATTACAGGCCTCCGTAAGGGCTATGCCTCATAGATCTATAAAGCAGTTCCTTTTATCATTAGATATAAAATATGGACTAACACGATCGGTTGACACTTAATTGCGAAGCATTCGTTTTGGCTTTGAAACTGTCAGATATTGTGTTTGCGAAGGTTTATTATGTATTCCTATACAGCAATAGTTTAACCAGCATATCTGGAAAAATGCACACTAAATATGCAAACCAACTCCTGTTCTGAATATAAGGTTTCAACCTACTACAAGATTCCCGTACGTAGAACGGGCAAACAGCTAGTATTTTGATAAAATTTGGAATATGTTTTCATTTCTTACCAACTATTAACATAAAAAAACAGTTTAACCATGTTTAACCCTCCCTGATGCAGCAATCCTAAGTACTTGTTAAACTAATTCTATTTAAATAGGAAATAAATGTTATATTTTTAAGTAGACATTTTAGTGTAAATCTAATCAGGCAAATGGAAATTCGCTTAGTTGCTGGTTTGCTGCGGCGGGGGTATTTAGTCTTCACGTACAGAGACTTAAATATTTGTATTAAATTGTTAGCAATCATTAATCGTGGACAGAATCTTCCACAAAAGATAATTACAATATAGTTTAACACCCTAGAACTCCTTAGAGTAACATCAAAAAAATATTTTTAGTTAAGGCTTCGTCATAATGTAAAAAACACTCAATACAACAAATTCATTAATTTTACATAAGTAAACGTTGATAGTTGTATGCGTATTGTATTTTTTATATATCTTCTGTATACATCTAGTCCTCAAAATTTTCTGTGTACACAAATGCTTTTGTATACAATTTATTTTGCAACTCACAATAACTGAGAAATATGTTAAACCGGTGAACTGTTTTTATAAATTTTTGCCATTATTTCTCAACCCGTGTTTGAAAAATTAGTGACTCGTGGATAAAGCCAGATACCAAATTTAATCTAAATCGGACCACAGGTTTTGTCTGTAGATCTGTATCTGGATCATACAAGTGTGTATTATATTACCTGATATTACTCAAAATATGTTTTATTCTATAACGTTTAATTAAATTAAACATTAAAGTCACGCTCCCTCCATTTTTGAAGTATTCAGTCCAAAAATGTAATAAATTTACTTGCGCATACTTATTTATTTCGTGTTAATAAATAATTGAGGTGATGCAATACACTTATGTAGGCAGTAGCAGCAGTCAAAGCCGGGCATAGCGCCTAGAGTTTCACGAACGCAAACCGCGCAACGAGTAGCTAAATGAGCCGTAGAGTAAGTGAACCATCTAATATTTTGAAGAGGGTTCACTTACTCTACAGCTCATTGTGCCAATGATCTGTAGTGTAAGTGAGCCATCTAATATTTTTCTGCAGGCTCGTATAGTATACGAGCATTCCTATAATTTATATTGATTCATGATTTTGGCTCGTATACTATACGAGCCGATTCCTGAATTATCAAATAATTCGTACGCTTGGCTCATAGTCACTATGATCTGTAGAGTAAGCGAACCTTCCTACTGTATTTTTAAATATAATACACGAGGCTCATAGGCACAATGATTTGTAGAGTAAGTGAACCCTCTTCATTTATTTTTTATTTTCGATAGGCTCGTATAGTATACGAGCCTGTAGTGCAAGTGAACCTTCAATATTATTTACAAAGCTCGTATAGTCTATGATCTGTAGAGTAAGTGAGCTGTCCCCGTGAAGTGATCAAGTGGATTGGATCATTCAAGTGAACGAACAGTGAGAGTGAACGAGAGAACGTGCAGAGGTGCAGAATCAGAATTAATTAATTAAAGAAAAAGAATAAGGGAAAGGGAACTCATCTTTGCGGCGGTTGTGTTTGTCCTTTCGGCCATTTACTTATAGTATTTATTTATTCAATTATTTATATACTTATCAAAGCATGGCTGACACGGTAAGTTGTATGAATTTTTTCTTTTTCTTTTGTTTACTGTCAATTAAATTACAAAATAATATCAATCTTCTGTAACTGCAATGCTCAATCAATACTTTTAACGTTCACAATCACATGCTCAAAATATTGTCATAATTTTTATTTATCCATTATTTTAAATCGTACGAAAATAATGAATAGAATTAAGATTGCTTTAATTGCCATAATATTTTATTTGGTCTATCTACTAGGCAATTGTTTATTACCAATTTTTGAATGGTGTCATTATTTTGAATAGCCTAACTTAAGTTACTTGTCATTATTTGTTAATAAGTTACTTAAAATTAAAACTATTTCCCAACAATTCAACATACAAGTCTAGCCTAAGTTATTCTTTTGCTATGACTTGTAGGTTAGACCTAGGTGTACATCTTGCCATCTTGCCTAAAACGTTAATAGGGCTAGGCTACCATTACCAACTCCTATGTCGTTGCCCAACACTTGTTGGATAGACTGCGTCAAATAAAATTTACAGTAATAAAACTAGGCTAATAAAAAAAAAAACATTCTTATTCAACCAATATTTACAAATAGAAAACTAGTGATGGCGGTGCATATTATATGTTCAAGAAGTACTCAAAAGAGTAGCCTACAGCGGCTCATTTGTGAGTTCGTTAAAAATCTGCATGGAGAAAGCTTTCATGTCTTCAGTGTGGGCATAGGGAAATGATGTCGATTAAGGTGACCAAGAGAACCATACTTAGTAACTTAGGCCTATTTATATATCATTACTTTAGAAACTAAATTTTTACCAAAAATTTAAACATCAACAATTATGCAAAAGTTGCATAGGCTAATTTTGAAAACAAATGGAAACAATGGTGCAAACGTTTGGCAATTATTCCTTATCTAAGTTACATTGGGAAAAGATGTGATTTTAATAACTAAACTTGCGTGAACCTGGCAATAAGTAGTGCACACGCCATAAAAAATCTATTGCTGGCCGTTTTGCGCAAAAATATGGCCACGAAATATATTACCGATGATGCCAACAGATAGAGGCCACTTTAACGGACACGACAGTACAGTTATCAACATCATGTACCTGGGGAGTAAGTAAGGGGGGGTAAACTCAGTTAAAGTAGTGTGCGCGCCATTAAAAATCTATTGCTGGCTGTTTTGCGGAAAAATACGTCCGCGAGCCATATTACCGATGATGCCAACAGATAGAGGACATTTTAACGGCCACACGACAGTACCAACATCATGTACCTGGGGAGTAAGTTAGGGGGGGTAAAATCAACAATAAGTAAGTAGCGTATTTGTGGTTCACACCAATATTTTAATAATTTCTACCTACAGTCTTTTCACGCTGAATCCAAAAATGCAATCAGTTTTTGTCGGAGAGATTCCTAAGTGGCTGTAAAACGAAGGTTAAAATTAAGTTACGACTAAGGTTCATTGAGCGGTACTGATGGTTATATGGTGTGGTCCATATGTGGGTTCCATATACGGATTCATAACTTAAGTTACCGTATGTGGGCTGAGGACTGAGTGAGGAGAGCAAACAGCTGTTTATACTCGACTTAATGCAGAATGAAATCAATTTCGTTCTGAAACTAAATAAGCTATTCAGCTTTTATTTAGGCATGTGGGGAAGGTAGGTCAGGTTTTATGCGGATTCGTGACTGTATTTAACCCTTAGAGTGCCAGGCGAGAAATAAAAGTAACGCTCAAAAAATGCCGATGATTTTCCCCGAAGGTCGCGCTAAAAATGCCGAGCGCGATCTGGCAATTTTTAGGTTAAAATTTTGTAAAAATCGAATTTTCGATATTTCGACCAACGAAAATCGATGTATTGCATCTAGTAACTTTCAACTCAATGTTAATATATGGGTTAAAATAATCCGAGTATCCATTCGGTAGTTATGACAACTGTTCGATCATTACGAAACGTCCGGTCAGCCGGACGTTGGCTTTTTTGGCTCGTTCTAAAAACGTCCGGTCGGCCGGACGTCGGCACTTTTGGCTCGTTTTAAAAACGTCCGGTTCCCCGGACGTTGGCACTCAAAGGGTTAAGTGTTAGGTTCGGTTCTAGGTTAAAAGTTAGGTTAAAAGGTCAAAAGCTAGGTTAGGTTCGGAAGGTTAATAATGAACCTACTCATTAATTTATGCTACCTGCAGACTGTTTTTGCACAATTGAAATAGTGGGTGAGACACAATAAAATTAACAATTAAGTTAACAAAAAAATGCTTGCAAGTATTTTGGATATTGTTATTTTAAAATGCTTGCAAGCATTCTTCATATTGTGTTTCATCCACTATTTTAATTGTGCAAAAACAGTCTGGAGGTAACTTAGCATAAATTAATGAGTCGGTTCATTAAGCATTGGGAAAGTTAGTCAAAAATTCTAACTAGTTAGAAGTTATTAGTTAGTCCCGTAAATGTAACTGATAGAAGTTATTAGTGGGTTACAGGTAGTTTAAAAAGTAACTGATAGAAGTTATTAGTTGAAAAACTAACTAATAGAAAAAAAATAGTTTTCAAAGTAAGTTAGCTATTTGTTGGGCAGTTGTTTTAAGGGATTTCGTAATGACACATGTTGGTTACTAATCTATACTATACATATGAGTAAATTTTGCGCACAATGATTATAAAACGGCTCCTACAATTTCCTCACATTGCAATGCTATTGAGAATTGCTTATATAATACAGTTGCATTGTATGATGTATTACTAACCAAATTACGATTGTTCAAAAACATTAGGGTAAGTGTTTTACCGCAAAACATTATACACTGATATTGAACTAAAGATCTAAAGGAAAGGCCAAGGACGTTTTGTAGTTTTCGACGATGCACCGCACGAATTGATGCGTTATTACACCATCCAGTAATTATAGTTGCGACGTTCCGCGATCCCAGTTACTTATTGCAATAACGTTCAACAGATAACAGATGTTATGTATCATGAGTTTTATTGATTGAAGCTTATTGTAGACATTTTATAGATTGCTCATCCACATGATAAAAGTTTGGTAGACTAAATTAAGCTAAGTGCTAAATTAAGCTAAGATAAGTGGATGTATAACGAAAACGAATTGACTTTACAACTTAATTAATCGTGGTAAGACTGAAAATATTTGTAGGCTTATAAGCTCTATTTTTTTCTTCTTGAACAAATCAAACACCTCGAGCAAGCTCGGTCCTATGGTACTTGTGTTTTAATCAAACATTGTCACATTTTACATTACTACAACAGAAACAAATGACTTAAAACTTGTCAAATAATGAACATCAACTGAAGAAATGTTTTGACACTTGAGATGATATATCAATCACCAAACAAACATTCCCCCTTCCCACCCCTCAGTGCTTGGGGTGTGATAATGGCCGTCACTACCCTTCCACAGGCCCACTGCATTCCAAAGCAACTGGACTTTGACTTTCTCTTTCCCACCCTCCGCGTTGTTTGTCTACAATGGCGCTGACCTCTCCCGGCCGCACGCAACCCTCACTGATCACGTGAAAAAAATAACCAGTATTTGAGATGCTTCCGCATAATTGGAAAGTTTAAAAATTCTAACTAGTTAAAAGTTTTTAGTTAGTTAGTTTAAAAACTAACGAATAAAAAGATAGATTTAATAGAAAATCAATTCAGACAAATGGAAATTCGCTTAGTCGGCAGGTTTTCTGCATCGGGGGTATTATTTATAGATATATTTTGATAAAACTTGGCAAATATATTGATTTTAAACTAAGCTATAATTATTTTACTTAAAAACACACTTTATTAGTTTCCTTGTAACAGCAAACCTAGGTACTTGTTAAACCTAATATTACTTAAATAGATCAATTGAAAATCAATTCAGCCAAATGGAAATTCGCTTAGACGGCAGGTTTGCTGCGGCAGGGGTATTATTATTGTAATGCCTCTAATCTACTTGTCTCTGTCGCCATTACTGTGTTTTAAGACGACAAACATTAAGTTTGACAAAGAGGTAGCTAGGCGTTTATAAATTCAACTGAATGTTGATTATGAACTACTTAGCATAATCAGTTATTATTTAGACATGTGAGGTAGGTAAGTTAGGTCAGGTGTTATGTGGATTCGTGACTGTAGATTAGGAAGGTACAGTTTAGTTTGTAATGAATAAAATTGTTGATTTACGTTATCTCCAGACTGTTTTTGCACTTTGTAAATAGTGCTATAAACACAACAAAATATTATTTCTAAAATGCTTGCATTTTAATGGCTTATGATCAAGTAGCCTAGCCATCTATAGGCCTTTTCTGTAGACCTATCTTTTTACATAGGCCATTGCCTATGCATTGATAAAAATAAATAAAAATAAAATACAACAGGCAATTAGGCAATTAGGTATGTCGTACTTGCACACACAGACCCGAGATTTAATTTTTGTTTTGAACTTTCTGTGTTGTAATATTATTTTGGTTAGCCTATCAGTATTGAAATCAAATTGATTTATATGGCCAAATTAACCATAAATTACACTCTTGGCGTTAACCACAAGTCAATAATACAAGATTAGGTACCGATTGAGTACTACCTATGTTATGTGGATTGATTTTTAATAGTTGATTGATAATCTTAGTCTCAACACAAATTTACTCAAGTTAAGGCACTGTTACAGTAAATATTGTATCGTTTTTTTTTCAGTGGATTAATAGGCCTACCATAAGGGTTAAATAAAAAAAATATTGTCTAAATTAAAAATGGAACCAGTACCAATTACTCAGATTATTACAGATGCAAGTACCTGTGCAAGTGATGAAACCCGAGTGCATTAAACAGGAGGAAAGAAGCATGGGGCCTGGCATGTTGGCTGCTCAGCGTATGAACAATATGCATGGACGCCCACGAGGCAGACTACCGAGAACAATACATCGCCCTACACCTGCAGAACTGCCTTTGGAAGAGGCAGCAAAACGGGTAAGTCAACCAAAGGTTTGTGAGCATTTCCAAATCTGAATTAGGCTCTGTGATTCAGATGGCCGACATTTTTGTGAGTCAACTAAAAAAAAAAAAAAAACAGAACTGCGAGTGAGTAAACGGCAATATTATTCATCACAGAAATTTTGTACTTGTTGATGTAATATCATAAAGAACTAAACTAAAGGTAGAGCACAATTTAAAACTCATGATAAATAAGTTTTTTTTCTCTTTGTAGGGTCAAGTATTAACATAAAATAATTTTGAAAACACAACCTGGAATATTTTATTTTTACGCATCGCTGGGTACAAGGTTTTACTACTAACAAAAGCTACTGTATTGATATGGGCTCCAGTTAATAGTGTCACTCTGGGAGGCAGTCTCAGAAGTTGCTCAAATTTTGTTATGTTGGTACAAACAATGGAAATCAACCATTGGCTTAAATCCTCTAATTGACTCATTAGCTCGAATGGCTCTTTTGCAATCCCACAATCCCATATTCCTCTAGTTCCAATGTACTAAGTATAAGGTACTTTATTTCTTTGTACAAATTGGCGGCCAACGTCTTGCAATTCTCTCATTCAGTGCTACCCTCTAGTTGTATTTCTTGCTCTGCAGTGTTCATACTGCAGGAGCTGCTCAGTCTTAAATGAACGACTCTAAAATATGAGTGGGTACAAAGTTATTGGTGTTACAGGAGATGCAGGCACTTCCCTCCAAAACACCAGTGTCTGTACTGCAGGAGCTGCTCAGTCGCAGAGGAACAACTCCAAAGTATGAGTTGGTTCAGGTGGAGGGAGCCATTCACGAGCCGACTTTCCGCTACAGGGTCACCGTCGCAGATGTCGTAGGTCAGTACAAAATAAAGTGATACACTGATATAACATCGAATAAAATTTAACTCTGAAAGTGTAAAAAACTGGTTGGTAGGGAGATGGTCTGTATTAGGCTGGTACTACATTGGAAGCAGAATTTCTGCTGTCTGACCACTGCGGTCTGAGTGAGCTGGGCAAGGGTACACTGGCACCTGTTTTAGTGCTGGAAAGGAGGAATGGGCCTGAGCTTGTCTGACACAAATCAAACTAATTTGTTTTTCATCCAGTCAGTCCCAGTCGCTTGAAAACTTTGGCCGAGGTTGATGCAGAGATTTCTAGAAAAATAGTTTTGTTGCTTAATAACAATAATTATTGTGTTGTTATTATTTTTTCAAGAACAACTGTAACTTTTTTACTTTGCTAATGTTTTTGGTAGATATTTAAATTGTACTAACATGCAAGTTACATTTAAATTAATTAAAATAAAGATATTCTTGACAGTAATTGTGGTCAACAAAATTAACAGATTTTTAGGATGGCTCTACACAGGCCCTGAAGTTACTTCACTTCTGAATGTTTCTATTGGTAAGAATAGAACAAGTGGGTTGCGGTGAAGGTGTTGGTCACGGTCGCAATCAACATTCATGTAAATCAAACACATTGTTGTTAACCAGGCCTAGCGTAACAAACAGTTAAGTCACGGTGGGGGTGCATCGCGCTGCCATCCAGGAGGTCTACAGCGAAGCTTTTAAAAATCAAACTCATTTGATTTAGATTGATGCTTACCGCGCGGTTTAGCTGGCTGCTTCGCTGTGATTGGTTCAATTGTTTTATTAAATCTTAGGTTCAACCTATTGTTGGTGTTGTAAATTGAATGCTCCTTGGTTCTTGTATGTATTTATGCATCTGTTTTTTCTTAAATGGTGTGATGAGAAATGCAGCGGTCCAACTGAGGAGTAAGTAATTCCAGTCATACAATAAAAAAGTTTCTGGAGTCATCCTCATGTACAAACAAAATCGATCAGGGTCGTTTTTGAGTTCACTGAAAACGTGGAGGTATTCGCCTAACCTGATTCTTCTCTATTTATTGGGTGGACTGAAAACCGCCTGTTAGGTAGACTTCCAATTATCCACTTAGTTGCCGCTGAGATTTCATCACTATCCGAACTTGAATCAAACAACATTGCACCAAGTATAGGATTATTTATTTTGTTTAACTCCAATAGTCTGAGCTCCATAGACAGTGCCGGTGACCTTCACGCTATGTGCAGTCAGCATTGACCGCGACTTAACGAGTGGGATCCTCCGCAACCTACATCTCCACCGCGACTCATTTGTAGGCTACTGTTCTTACCCTATGTGTGACAAAATGGTAGTAAACATTTTGATCGTCATTCTGTGATAATTTTTTAATTTGTCTGAATAGGTAAGCAGGTTGCGTAGTATTTGCTTTGCCTGTGGTCTTCATTAAACTCTTGAACCCACTTTCTCATGGGTGTCTTAAGGTGGTGCAGTGAGCTCTGTAGTAAACAAAATCCGCCCAGGCAGCAGCACCGTCGGCGTTCGGAGCGATGCGTACGACAGCAAAGTGGAGGGGCGCATTTGGCCGCTTCCCCTCCCCCGGTTCTCTGCCTCCCCCTTACCGCCCCAACCCTCGACTGTCCGACTGTCCTCCGAGCTTGCTCTGTTTCGGCGGCTGGTGGCTGTTAGGTTCGCCGTACATCCCAATGTCCTGGCCCCTGACCTGCGCTGTGGTCATCGGTAGAGTCTGGCCATGTCCACTTACCAGATAACCTTTATCGTGACCTTTGTACAGAACAGTAAGATCGTAATTTGTAAAGAAACAACTGGATTTTTCATATATTAATAATAATTAACTATATTTTTTTACCATTGGTAAAGTTACATTGTTAACTATCCTACGGTTAATCGAAATCAAAGGAAGAGGTCTATTTTAGAACTGAGTGATTGTAATATAAATGGCTTTAAGACATAATTCATTCGTTGCAATCTCTACTTTATCAACGACCAAAAATTTGTAACAAACCATAATAGTTCAATGGTCATTTACCGGACTGACCTACTTATCTTGCTTTTGTCAAACATCGCATTATTTCACTCAACAAATTAAAATTCCAGTAATATGCTTTATTTGATTATATGATATTACATTCAAATTTATATTGAAATAAAAATAGGATAAAATTGTGTGAGTTTCTGGAATGCAGCTTCATTCTTTTGCGTTTTATCATAAAACGCAGATACTGTAAATGTGAATCTGGATTCTAATTATTAATATTCAGACAAAGTATTGTTTCTGGTTTGTAGAGTAAACGCTGCTTAAAAAAATAATTGCACGCAATCTTTACAGGTAAGGTCAATATAAATAAAATGAAATAAGAAAGATTTCAGGAAGTAACATTTTATTTACACGCAACATTTACAAATTATGATTGAAACATATTTTCTAAAGCATGCCTACAATCGCATGATTGACATTTGATCATGTGTATGTAATTACAATATTACGATGGAGCCCGTGCACAAACAGTACACTTTAATATTTACTTACAAAAAATATAAAAATTACGTTATTAATAAATATTACGTTAAAAAGAACGTTAGGCGAAACCCTTACAGAATTAAGAAGATAGATCATTATGACTTAGTTTTAGTTGTATACAATGATGTTTCTAAATAAATAAGAGAGTTTATTCAACTCTGAAGATTATTATCACCCTCCATTGAGCTAAGCTAATAAAAAGATTTATTAGTGGCGACCTTTGCGGAAATGGACCAATTTGCGAAACTTTGTAAAAAATTACCAGAAAAAATTATAATAAAAAATACAAGACTTTAATTAAGTTTGAAAGTTTTTAATGTTGATCATTGAGTTAATTAAAAGATTTATTGGTTAGCATTTATTGATGTGTTTCTTAATAATTTGAGAACATTTTATGGGCCAATTTTGAATTAGATAGCACGGATTTTAAAAACTATGATTTTTTAGCTTTTTCTTGTTTTGCATTTTTGAGTTTTTTTTGTGCTTCTAGGATGTAAACTGGATCTCTACATTTCATTTCTCTAACAATTCTGCTATCCACAATTTCTGGGAGCAAACAGTCCTGGTAAAATCTGGTCAACTTCGGCAACATATTTTTGGTCCAAAATGTTGTGTCCTTTTGTATTCGTTCCACAAAAATCTCCCCCTTTTTTGTGTAGACAATAAAGTCGCACCAGTTGCGGCTTGTAATTGCGAGCTGGCCTTGAATCTGGTAAAAGTAATTGTGATTCTTCTTTAGTTTGATTTCCCCTTCTTTTGACAACTCTAGACACATGTTTTTCTTAGCTTTTACCGCTTCTGACAAAGTTTCTTCCTTTACGGAAGCTAAGCACTTCACTTCAACGATGCCTTCTTCACCAACTATTCCATCCGGACTGGCGCCAAGAAAAGGATTGGACACGTCGATAAACAATCCACAAGGCTCTACGCTGTTGTTTGTTGAGTTTTCATAAAGTTTGATAGCTATGTCTTCGTGATCTCTTCCGAAAGTTATGGCCTCTGAGGTTAATGATCTTGAGTAGAGGATGGATTTTACAAGATTATGGCAAGGTGTATGCGGTAGGCGTTTAATCACAAATCCGAACTTTGAAGCAGTTAGTCTGTTCATTCTTTTTTCGAACCATAACTCATTGTTACGTTGCCCAACAGTTTTCCTTTCCCATTCTTCATTTCCATTTTTAATATCATTTCTCAAGTTTTGCAGAAATGTTTTAGATTTGGCAACCATTTCGACCTCCTCTATATCTGCCTTTACTGCTAGGGGGCCGTATTCTTTGTCGTAGGAACCGTCTTTCCCATTCCTCTTTCTCTTCATACTTTTCTTTCCTGAAAATAAAATTTTTCTTTTAATTTTTCTTTTTTCCCGTGAGAGGATTTTTTTTCTAAATACCTGCCCTGGACAGTGATGAAGGGAATTCCGTTCAGATAATTCCCTTTCTCGATAGCTATTCGCCTTTCTTCCTCTGCGTTTTCTTGCATTTTTCGTAATAAACAATCTTCCCACCCCTAAAAAATTACAAAATACGAATTAGCCAACGATAAAAGATACTTATGCGTACTTATTTGAAAAAAAAATTTCTCTCCAATATGGCAGATTTACTTTGGCGGCCGGAAATGAACACCATGTCAAAATGAAGAGTTTACTTCTAAAAACGTTCGGGGTGGTCTGAAGTTGATAATTGAAACAATGTAAAAGGGCAATTCATTTCACATTCATATAAATACGTATCTTGTATGAAATTTAACAAACCAAGTTATAAAAAAGTTGCATGAAATTTAACCACACAATGGACCAAGTTAATTAACCGTAGGATTAACTTTAGGATAAGTGTTAATTTTACAAAGACTTACTTTTCCAACTGCTTGTTCATGTTTATGGTACTTTTGTTGTCCCATTATTTTTAAATCAAGGATACTAAAGAGTTCTTCAACTTGAGAATATCCTATTCCAACTGACATTGCAGCCCAGGCCAACGCATCGTTTATGTCTTCCTTATCAGTTGCTGGAGAAGTTGTTACGGAAAACTCTTTTTCGCAATTATCACAGTAGTACACCAGTGTTGAGTACAGACCATTACAGATTTCTTTCTTTAATTTGTATTTCCCCATAGTGCATTTATTAGGATGGGATGCAATAATTTCCATTTGTGAGGAAAAATGGTCAATATCCACAATTCTTCTTCCCTTTAATAAAACCTTTTCCGTGTCGACTGATCTCTCCACTGTTAGAGGGGGGAAATAATCTGGGTCGTCAACGACCATTTCATCTTCATCGCTGTCTTCAACTGTCATCTGAAGATCATCATTGAGCTTGAAAGGTGAATTCGGATCTGAATTTTTGACTTTTAGACAACTACGACTATGGTTGGGGATTGCATTCGTCTCAAGTTCCGCAAGCTCTAAAATTGAATTTGAATCATTGAGCATTGAGCTTTGTGTATTTGTTTCTTGAGCCGCAAGCGTTTCATGCCTAAAAAAAGAGAAGATATTTTCTGTAGTAATTTGTTTGTACCCAAATATTTGATGTTATTGCTATTATACAGAAATGTTAAAGCAGGGCCAAATCAAACGGGTTTTCCATAAGCCCAAAATATTTTTCCACCCGTAGTTTTGAGTAAAGTCACAAACAAATAATTCAGTGATATTATCAACAAAAATATATAAACACAAAAATAAGCGAAAAAATCAGTGAAACTATCTGTTCCCCCGCAAAACTTTGCGGGAATTACATATGTTAAAATGTAATTAAAATTCAAGATAACTTAATTTTTAACTGTAATTATATTACGGCACATTTATAACACACACGGCCCTCCTTATAACACACACGGCTAATAATTTTTAATTATCGTGGCATAATATATCCTAAATTGTTTGCAAAAATGGCCAAGTGTGAAAAGCGATCGTGCGTTACATATAAGCTTGGCCGTTTTTGCAAACAATTTATAAACTTTAAGAACAATAAATGTTTAGTATCCTGTTCTAAACGTAGTAAACTCCCATCTATGAAAATAGGATATAGTTATTGGAGCTCATAGGCATAATGCAAAAAGGTTATCCAGCAATGATCAATTGAAAACAAGTACTTCTTTATCATTATAATATGTTGAACAACAATTTATAACTGGTTATGACACCTATGGTCAAAATTATGTTAATTATCTAGTATATTATAATGCATGAGAGCAGAAGTTGTCAGACCTACCTGGTTTGTTCTAGAAGTCTATTAAAAATGTCTTCACTTGTTTCATCAGGAGCATTTGACGTTTTTTCCCTTTGTCTTGCTATGAAAAGTTTCATAGATCTAGAACGCTTGCCACGTTTTCGATAAATTCTTCCTTTGTAAGGCATTTTTATTAAATGAAACTGGTATCAGTTCTCTATAATTATAAGGATTAAACAAATAAGCCCACTCAATTTTTAAAATTTAATTAATAATTTTAAACAATTAATTATAAAGGTATTGTTTTATGTAACTGCACAACAATATACTCTATTCCACTTTTACTTTTCAGTACAGAATTTCCCTAAGCCGTGAAAAATTTGACGGCTTAGGCAGTGGCGTATCCAGGATTTAATTTCGGGGGGATATAGTTTTGAAGGATGGGATAGACCGGGGGGGTTTGGGGGGTATGGAATTTGTACATTTTGTATAAAAAATTGCTAATTTAAACAATTGTAGAGGGTAATATTTATCTTTAATTAGTAATTTAATTAGATTAGTAATTTTTGAGGTTGAGTCGAGTTGAGTTTTAAAAAAACTCACAAGTTTAAGCTTTTTTTAGTCGGGTTTTTAAAGAAAGAAAGGAATTATAAGGGATTATAAGGCCTATTTCTAATCACTTATTAACAAATTAAACTTACATTTATGTAGCTAACTCATTTTAAAATTATGTTTATAACTTTTCTTTTAAGTTAAAAAATTCCAAATAACTCAAATTGGGACAAAATGTTAACATATTCTGAAAGTAGGAGTTTATTGATCTTACCTTAAAGAGTTTTAATATCAGTTGCACATTATCGGTACCATCGATCGATGACGGCCGAATATCGGATAAACGTCATAAAAAACGGCCGCATAACTAAATCGTGCGTACCAAACCCCGGGTAAACGGCGGGAGTAACTACTCGGCTTGAACTATAATTTGTATTTTTTCTTTTTCAAAATTTCGGGGGGGGATATATTTCCTTCATCCCCCTCCTGAGTACGTCACTGGGCTTAGGAATTATAAACCATAATCCAATTTGTCAGCCATTAGTTTAATTAATATTACAATTTATGCTGTAGTTCGCACCAAGTGCTGCAGGCTAATCTGTGTAAAATTTTCTATAGGCATGTTTTCCAAAAGAAATATTAATAATTAATTGGAAATTTGCTTTAAATACTGGAAATGATTTGGGTAAACATCCGTAATGCCTCTATACTGACAAGTAAACGAGGAATTGAGTATACTTTACCATAAGCGCACTACTAAGCACCGCTACATTATCACCACACAACACTACACTATTTCAAACAATAACCTGTGTCACTACATTTGAATAAATTCTCAACACATCACCAAGAACACTCAACGTTTTGCTCACGAAATGCTATGTACACGCCAACGAGCCGAGAGCGTGCGGTCGGTGCGGCGCCGTGGCTGAGTCATCAGCGGAGGAGAAAGTGAGGAGTGGTGGGGGCACGGAGCGCTCTGGGTTGCAGGCTGAGCAGTGCGGGCGTTACAGCGGAAATATCTTTTGACTTTACAGCCTACAAATATTAATATTTAAAAATAAATTAAATTCCTATACATTCCTTAGATTTAACTTCCTGGTCTAAAATATTTTTCTTTTCAATTAGCTCATAATTTATATTTTTTATTTTACAAATAAAGCAGCACGTAAAATTGATTTTCATTTTTTTTACACATAAATACTTTTAGACCCTGTAGTACAATATCATTGATTAATACCCCAAATTTCACATTCTTAACTCAAACCGTTTTTGAGATAAAGTCAAAAGAGTGAGTGCCAAATCGCCTATTTCAAAGACCTGTTAACAAAAAAGTAGCCATAAAAAAATTCCAAAAAAAATATTTGTTTGCTTCTAAACCTTATATTGACAACTTACATTATTAAAAAGTTTGAAATTCCACCATGACCAAAAATCATTGCACCACCTTAAGTAGTAAATTGTTGTCCATTAAAAAGAAATAAAAAAATTTCCTCGTTAATTTTCCAAAGTGAAAGCAATAAATAAATAATCACCAAACACAACTAGGGTAAAGGAAACTTAGCTCGTCGAGAGCAAACACACTATATTGTGACTGTGAGACTGACTGGCCGCAGTGTAGGAGCGCCGAGCCGGCTTCTGGTCTATTATGGTCGGTGTTGATTATAATTTATAAAATCGGTCAGTTTTACTTTATTTGATGACGAGTGCTGTTGTGAATAATTGTGTCGTGTCAGTGTGTTTTCAGAATGTTTGATATATATGTTTTTTTCTCTAAATATAATTGTTTTTGCTTTAATTTCAGCAATGGGTATCGGCCGGTCTAAAAAGGAAGCCAAGCATGCAGCAGCAAAAAATGTTTTGGACAAGTTGATTGGAAACACTGACCCTAACATGATGAATTCTATGTCCAACTCCATTAATGACCAGTTATTGTAAGTTTTTAAAACCAATTTTACCTGATTGAAGCTCTTGTTGGAAGCTAATTTAGAACCATGTCAAAGCTCAAAACAATAAAAGTTGATGTGTTGGATTAATTAATTATGATTTAAGTCCGTTATTTTGTTTGGTTCTGTCATTTGCAATGACTCATTTTAAAACGTTCCTGTTTGTTAGTTGATTGTTTTAGGCTCTGCCAAAAAATATTCAATATAAAAAAAATAATTCATGCATTTTGTTTCATCCATTATTAACAAACTTGAGAAACATGAGTGTATGTTTCATTTTAATCATAACTTCATTTAGTAAAATTGCTTAGTTAAGGACTAAGCAATTTTATTGAACAACAATAGTGAAAAAGTGTGACCTTACCAAGGCAGATATAAAACTGGACTTTTGACATTCCAATTAATTTTAATTGGTTTACAGTCTACTCAGAGCCTACTTCATATGAATTAATTATTTGTAAAGATTAGCTCAAATAAATTTAACTTTATAATGTAATAATTGACTAGAATGCAGTTTTTTAATACTTTTTATTATTAGCTAAAATTACTATAATACTAAGAAGTTTAAGTTTTAATGGATATTTTGTTAAATGATGTGTGTATAAATAAGTAAACCGCCATTCTTAAATAATTTGGGAAATTGTAAAAAGAAAAAATGACCAAGTGAAAAGGTATCTTGGAAATGGTTGAAATACTGATAGTGTGTGGGGAAACCCCAGGAAATAGGTTCAAAGTTTGTTGATAGAGAACAGGTTTCTGACCTGTCTTTGCTGGTTTTGTTACTCAGTGGCTTTAGTCCTTTCCACCTACAACAGTTTACATGATAATAGTTCAATTTGACTTACAGTTTATTGTTATAGTTATAGTTTAATATTTATTTCAATTTTCACTCATATTTTGAGGGTAAGCCTGTACATTAAAATCAAATAGGCCTACTACTTTATTAACATCACACAATTCAAGCGGAGCTAGTAAAACAGGTGACATTTTTATATCACACAGTAAAATAAAATAAAATAAAATAATAATAACTAGAGGACCCATGCTGCTCTGCAGCTTTAAAATAAATATAATATCCGTGAAACAATCAAATTTATGATTTTTGATTTTTAAAAGAGTCTTTAAATTTATCGAACATCCATTATGCCAAATAGTAAATCAGTACCTTGACGAGGGTGTTTTTCCTGATAAGCTTAAGTTTGCTGAGATTAAACCGCTATTCAAAAAGGGTGATGTAAACGATCCTTCTAACTATCGTCCTATAGCAATTTTGCCATGTTTTTCAAAGATTTTTGAAAAAATTGTTAAGATTCAGCTAACAGAATTTTTGGAAAGCAATAATCTAATAAATCCGTCACAGTTTGGTTTCCGCCCAGAGCTTAGTACTGAAAAATACATAACAAAAATAATTGACTGCATTGCGGAAGCCTTGGATGGTTCGCAGAAGACTGTGGGTGTGCTGTGTGACTTATCCAAGGCTTTTGACTGTATGGATCATGATATACTTTTAGAAAAACTAAATAAGCATGGAATAAAAAACACTGAATTAAAGTGATTTGGATCCTATTTAAAAAACCGAAAACAAAGACTTATTTTGAATTGTTCAAGCCATTTTCGAGAAAATCCTTTTTTTTTTGTTATTTTATTGGTTTTTATGAAAAATCTAAATTTTGAAAAAATTACAAAAACGCCTGGAAATACCATGGATTAGTACCTACAGACCAAATTTCATCAAAATCGGACTACAGGTATGGACTGTAGCTCTGTACACATCCACACACACTCAGACATCACTTCGAAAACCACTTTTTTGGGTTCATGGGGACCCAAAACGGATACATCCACCACTCAAAACTCATACTCGAAAATTTTGACGAAAACAATACTTTCTCCATAGGCCTATACTATGAGGGGGAGAAAGTAAAATACGAATAAAGACAAAAGCAATGTCTAGGATATTGTAAATTATTTTTTGAGCTTGGTTGCTGATACATTTAATTATTATCGTTCTTGTGGTATTAAATTTTTAGATTTACCATAATTTCCTATGCGGTGAAGGCACAGTAATCTCATATTTAATAAATGTATGTTTACACGATGTTCTTTTGGTACAAATGATAAAGTTCTTCATTATTATGAATTTTAAAAAACTGGACAAAGGTTGATCAATAGCTTAAGGTTGTATTCGACAGTAACAGGTATTTAAACTTTTGATTTGTATAAACATGATCCAATTAAAAATGTTTGATACTTATTGTCTGTTTCAGGACTGGCAACATGGTTTCCCCATACGAAGACAAGATTGGCGGCAATCCCATCGGGCTGCTACAGGAACTGTGCATGTCTCGGCGTTGGCCACCTCCCACCTACCAGACGGAGCATGAGGAGGGACTGCCTCATGAGAGACAATTCACCATCGCTTGTGTCGTCTTCAAGTTTAAAGAGATTGGTTAGTCAGTATAAACATATTGAATTAAAAACCCGGACCTTTTCCATTAGTTCACTACCAATTTATAACTTGTATGCAACATAAGTTATTTATTGAAGTTTTTTAAATTTTGTCTTGGTTCTTACTGGGAAGTGTCAATTCTTCGATAAAAAAATCAAAAACCCTTTTACAACTCAGTAACATTGTGCCTACAAGTCTCGAACAGGCTAAATATATTTTATTAGAATAGTTTTAAATTATACTGTGCTAGTTTTTAATTATGTAAATGTTTATCTAAAATTTACTATCAATTTTTTTAGGAACTGGCAAATCCAAAAAGTTGGCCAAACGTCAGGCAGCCAATAAAATGTGGAACAAGTTGAAGGATATCAATGTGGAATCCAACAATATCTCATTCAATCTTGAAGATGAAGAGGAGGTAACCTAAAATGATCTTTAGACATTATGCTCGTCATGAATCTCACAGCTTAACAAATTCACAGAGATTTAAATGCCCTTGGACCTATATTCCTCTGAATCAAGAGAAAATAGTTTGACTTTGTTTTTACTATATTATTATTCACACAAACAAATTTCACCAAGGCAGATAGATATTATTGCAATCCCAATCAAGCTCAATAACTCGTAGTTGACTTTGGTCAATATAACATTATAATTAATTGCTAATATTCTTGTCTACTAATCAATTATTATTAACGGTGATTTGTAGACTACATATAGCCTAATTTGCTATATGATTTGTATTCTTCCGTTAACATTTATCTCACTTGAAAAGCTAAAACATTCCAGATTGTAATTTTTTAATTTGTCTTTAGGGGTTTTTAAAGGTTAACATTAGCCTATATAGGATGTGTGCATTGGTTTCACTACTTTTAAACGAATAATTTTTTTATGTCAAGGACTACTTTTTTCTTGGGGAATTCTATAAAAACAGTTCTTGATCAGTGAAATTGACCTAATACCTTTATTTGATTGTGCAGATTAATTTTTTCAGTGATGAATAAAGAAGCTTTGAAAAAAAAACAGAGTAGTAGGATAATGCATTCTGAAATAAAAACATGACTTAAGATGAAGAGGGCTTGACTACATTTTAGTTTGAAAATCATAATAAACTTCTATAGGCTGTAGGATGAAAATATTTTAAAATTATCATCATTAAAGCCCCAGGAAACATTGGAAGTTTGAAGGTCCATGGGACAGAACCCTGTTTATGGTTTTAATTTTTTTATTTAAGAGTAGGCTTATATTTTTTGTGGTATATTATGGTAAAAAACAAATTAAAATTTATTACTCGTAAAACTTCTGACAGCAATAATTACCCATTATGATAGCTCAATCACGAAAATCTGACTCCAAAAATATCTAAATAACAATAAATATTTCTAATCAAGTCAAAACATTTTAATTTTTGTCACAGCTTACACAACGCGTATCTCAGATTGGTCTTGAGTACGCTGATCTGAAAGAGGCCAAAATCTCAACTTTGACAACTGCTCATAGTCACAAGGTCTCCCAGTTTCACAAGAATCTCAAATCATCCTATGGTGAAAAGCTGAGTGAATTACAGGTTCGTACCACAGTTGTTCCATCATTTTGAACAACTGCTGAGAAGTTTCAACCACCTTTTTGGTCACTACTCTATAGTCACATTTTTTTATTTCGCTTTTTCAGTATAATATGAATCGAAGCAGGTTTGCTTATCTCATGCATTTGACCCAACCTCGAAGATTTGTTTCAAGTACCTTCAAAGTTCCAATGTTTAGCATTAAATTAATGCTAGAGTTAGAATTTTGCTGTCATGTTAGGTTTATAACCTTAAGAGTTGGTTTTATCAAATTTAACAGTTTAACATAACATGAATATAATTCTAAACATCTCAAAACAATTATTTATTTTGATTGGCCATCTATTATTTCCAAAGTCAATTTAAGTTAATACTGATTCTGCTAAAAACTGGAACAATAAACTGGAATGGATGGTTAAAATTTAGTTTGTAAAATTGAATAGAATTGAATGTTAGATTGATAGATTCAAACATTGTTGGGAATGTTTTATGTTTTCAATATATTTTGCTTTCAAATAAGATTGATTACAATGCCCTGTTACTCTTTTTACAGACTGTAGTGCTCAGGAACCAAGGGTTTAACTTTGTCCAGTTTCTACAGGAGATAGCTTCAGAACAGCAGTTTGAGGTCACTTATGTCGACATTGAGGAAAAGTCTGTTTCAGGTAAGATATTGTTATTTTGTAGATTAGGTAAGACTTTATCTTAATATGTAAACTAGAATGAATCTGTTGTTCCGCCTCTAACATCCAGCACTTGTCAACAAAATAGTAGTTGATTCTCTCCAAGACTTGTGCATCTTGTTTTTGATGTATCGTAGGTATACCAGGTAACCGATAGCCGAACTCAGTTAGTTAGCCATTCCATTCTGGGCAGTCTCAATGTTAACAATGTATGTCTCTGGCGTAACTTAATAAAGTTTGTTTGTGCAGTTACAAAATGTGAGTTTAATTACAATGAACCTACTTTATAGTCAACCCTCAAGTATGCATAAGTTTTAATGACCAAGTTTTCTTACACAATTATTGTATTTTGTCTTAAGATATTATTCAATTGACTTAATTAAAACTAGTTGAAAGTAAATTGTAAATAATCAGTCAACCAATGTTTGTTTAGCTTTGATTACATAATTTGTATACAATGTGCTGTAGTTAATGATGATGATGTGCCCAGGTAAATACCAGTGCTTGGTACAGCTGTCTACTCTACCAGTGGCTGTTTGTCACGGCTCAGGTACAACTTCCAAGGAGGCACAGACCGCGGCCGCCCACAACGCTCTGGAATATCTCAAGATCATGACCAAGAAATGAAGAGACAACGGACGAGCAGACACGGTGGTGACACTGAAATATCGTTTCTGCGACCTCGGAAAGTCAAACTTTGCCCACTTTCATAGATTTCTCGAGATTTCAGAAATAATATTTGTTTGTCTTGCACCAGTCTGAGCGGTCACTTGGGCTTTAAACACGTCCTTTACCAAAGGACTTAAGAATTCTTTCCCCTGAAAATAATTTTTCCATTTGCTGTTATTAAGTGTACACACTGAGCTTTGCTTGTAGGTGTTTATCCCTACCACTTTGGTAGATTTTTTATGTAACGGGGAAAAATAAGTTTTCAGGGTAGGGCCACCTTGGACAGTCATTTTAACCTTTAACTCACTACTTATTATTTAGGCAGTAAATTGTTAAATTCACTTATTGTGAGAACATACCTACGAATAAGGATATTTTATTTTGTAGCTAGTCATTTTGTGATATATTATCCGGTTATGATTGAATTTAAGCGTGCCGAATCTCGAATTCAATTTTGAGTCTTTAAATTGAGTATCCTTCACAAATTTTACTGGCAAGTAACTGTATTTTTAATCAATCCTAAAATATTGTATTTATTTTCAACCAATTACTGAAACACACCAAAATCCTCATAGTGTAGTAGTAGGTACTTATCTTTTATCCTAATCACCATGCTTAAATATAACCCATAGCACAAGGCAAATAAAACAATAAATAATAAACTGCTTTGCTTAACTTGGATTTTGTATTTAATATCCTCAATTTGGCTACGTTTAACCTATCCTACTCTGATGTTACTGATATCAGTTAACACAATCAGCTTATTCAGCACATGGTTGATTAACAAAATTTTTAAGAAGGTATTTCAAAAAACAACTAAAAATCTGTATTGCCTTTGAATTAAATTTTCATTGTCCGTATTCTGCTTGTAGGTTAGTCTCAAGGCTTGTTCAGATTCCATTTGATTTACCGTTTAAATTAAACGAGGATTTGGGATGTGTAAGCTTAAAATAAGATTTGAGATTTGACTCTCAAAATTCGATGAATTTGAGATTCGGCTCTGATCTATCACTTGTATTATCCCTTTGTGTATGGTGCCTCATTTCCCTTGAGGCCCTATTTATAATAAGTTTATTATCAGCAATTGTTTTCCTTAATGGCGGGTCTATTAACTTGGTTAATTTTTTCAAACATTTTGTATTTAATATTCAATTTTGACACTTCTTGTTTAGCTGTAGTAAAACTCATTTGGTAAATACACTGATATGTATCTAGTTTATTATGCTAACATAATAGATTTTCATTAGTCATTATACCAAGTGTTTACCCTTTTTCTTCCACCATGTTTTTATACTTAGTCATGGAAACTGGTAACATGATACTATTTCCTTTATTAGCACTTACAAAAGACATGTTTGGTTTAAAAAAGAACATTTTTAAGTTCAGTTAAAATTTTGAAATCTACTTTGTGAGTTAACGAGGATTGAATTTTCTTTTCAAGATGGTCCAAAGTTTGCAAGCAATGCCGTCGAATTTCATCTACAAGCTATACTTTGCATAGAACTAGTGGAATTTTCCCTTTCTCTCAAATAGAGGGACACTACCAGAAAATTGCAAAAAAGGGAGAGAATGCAAACTTTTATTTAACCATACTTCTTTTTTTGTGTTTTTATATTTTTTGTAGTTTTCCTCTGGTGAGCATAGGTTTTAGGACCGAATATTTGGAAAATGGGCATTATTTTAATGCAAAGTATAGAGGTTGTAATCTTAACATAATATTTTAGATCTAGGTGTCTTAGTGTTGTAGAAGATTTATTTAAAATGTGACACAAAATAATTGTAACTTAGTTTATATTAATATGATCAAACACTATCATAGTTGTAACATTATACTCAGATTTAAAACCAATATAACTGCTATTTCTTTTGTTAATGCCAGACAGAATTAGTTTGTGTTTATATTTTTAAGAAAATTGTAGGCCTACTATATGAAATATTATAGTTCTAAAATGTACCGTGTTAGTTTTCCTTTTCATTCAATAAATAGGATTTATCATCTCAACATTTTTGTGTGTAATACTCAGATTATTTTAGTCATATGGGCTGTAATGCGTTGAGAACACTAAGTGTGTTTGAATAAATAGTTCTCATCACATTATGCTTACTTATTTACCTGAAACAATCACATTCTATCTCTCTCTATTCCTTATTGTAGATTATGCACGACTGAGCTATTACTATTACAAGATGTGATATTTTTTTTGCTAGACAACTTTGTCTAACCACTGACTTAAGACAAGTTTTTGTAAAGAGGTTGGTGGCATAAGTTATCTTTAATATTTTCCCCGTTCAAATGGGTCTAGGGCATGGGCATGAAACATGTGCCTTTATAGTAAAGCAAGGGGTGAGCTAGTATGAATGAACTGCACCATCTATTGAAAGTGGTGGGACCAAAATGTGAACCTAATACATTGGCATTGGTTGTCCATCATGCTACAAACAGGGCCGATGTCTCACCAATGTAAAAAAAGTTGAATAAAGAAGAAGAATGATCTTAGTCACTTTACCCTGGCAATTGAAATAAATTGTACAGGGTGGAAAAATGTCCCGGGACAGTTAAATATTTCAAAAATTAATTAAGGTAGAGCTTCAAAACTTGGTACACAGTTGCTGGGTATTAAAATTATTTTAAGACATTATTCAGTGACAACCTACCTCCTCAGGGTGACGGCCCGCTAGAAAAAAAAAGAAAACCTTAAAGTAAGCTAGGTTGATGTACAAATTTTTTAAAGTTCTTTACTAGTACAACGCCACAAACTTGAACTGACACAGTCATTCGAGTAAAAAATGGCAGCTGTTAAAAGATATCTTGAATCTGCTGTTTTGAATCTAATTAATACCCTTAATTTGATGTGCATATCACCTATGCATACGTTTATGATTCTCCGACTTCTAGCGAGCGTGCCTCCCTGAGGAGTAGAAAATTTGAGGTACGAGCCTATTTACCTGAGTTGCGTGTACTACACACTACTTTACCTAAAAAACTTATATGAGAGGTTGTTTTCGTTTATAACCTCTCATTGCCACTGACAGTGATGTAACGACTCATTGTACCAATCACTAACTGCACCAATTGTTAACAATTAAATTGGTAAACAGCTGATTAGTTGAAGTTCGAAGCATTACAATTTTACTTCTTCTCTCTCAATCCTTGAACCTTATTGATCCTTACCTGTGTTGTTAACAACACTATGCTAAGTAAACAATACTGTTATGTGAAACCTTAGTTTAAATCCTAAGAACTGAACTGAAACTGCTACTTAAAAAACCGGCTGTAAGTCTGGTATCTACTATTAATACCCAGTAGCTGTGTAACATAGCTCTATCTTTATTACTTTTTGGAAATTTAACTTAACTGCCCCAGGACTTTTTTCTCACTCTGTGTATTTTTTTTCAATACCATAGTCACAGAACTCCTATGTAATATACAAATAATCTTTTTTGAATCTCTAATTTTTCATTTAAGAACTCCATGAAAACAAGCCAAGTAACACTTGGGAGTGGTAATCATTATTCAATATACATTTTAAATATCATGTTTTTTTATGAAAAACTGTACAAATGTCCTACAACTAAGGAATACTTCATTTCTCACTGGTACATTCAAATTACTGTTACAATAACTACATCTAAATCAGTATGTACAACATATTTACAGTTCAAAGTTGATCACAGCAAAGCACTTCAAGTCACTAACTCAAACTCTGTCATTGTTACCCTACGTTTGGTAAAGTCAATACACTTCTTTCATCGTGTACTTCTCCACTGGAGCAATCTTGTTCTTTTTGTCAAACCACGGTCTACTGAGCATTTCTTGAATCTCTACAAGACTTTTGTCACTTGTGTTGGGAACAAAGAAGTATGTGAAAGGCACAGCAAAGGCGTTTGTCAAGGCGAAACTCCAGATGCCAAAGTGGATACCGAAGGTGGACTTGACTGCGTAGTATATCTGGATGGAGAGCAAGGCACAAGCAAAGCCTATGCTGTTGGTGAGAGATGTCCCAAGAGCTTTCACATTGGGCGCAAATAACTCTCCTACTACAGCAAACGCACTGTTGGAGAAACCTGGAAAGATTTGTTTCAATATGTTAAAATTATTTATTCATATTATACAGACCATTTATATGTATCTCTCTTTTACTAAATGTCTGACAATTTAGAGAACAAAAATGTTCTTTTTACCTATAGTAAAGGAATACCAATTCAATGTGTGATGTTTGCAATTAGATATGTGATCAGGAGATAATTATCTATTGACATGTTAATAACAGAAAAAAAAACAATAAATTTAGGTGGTACTTATACATTTTTGCGGCAATTTTTTAGTAAACTATTCTACACTTTTTTAATTTTCAGTTTTTCTTAACGATTAAACAAGCCATATGCTTCTTATTAAAATGCTGCATTATTTTAGGGCACAATAATTACCTAGAGAATAGAAGCTGATGTAAGCCACCAAGCTCACCAGAGGGACTAAACTGAAGTTTTTCATGTCGTGTCCGAGACTGATGAGGTAAAAGTGAGTACCAAACACTACCTGCAACCAAACATTGGAACGTCAAAACCAGTTGGGATATCAGTCTTCCCTCAATAGGAATAAGAGTCCACCCTGCCACCAAAAATACAAACACTTAACACAATAATTGTGACATTTCATTGTCACATTACTTTCCTTCATTCTAACTCAAAACCTTTTTTGTTATAAAGGCAGCCACTGTCATTGAAAGGGATATGACCTGATGATGTATAGTGTAATTTTTTGAGTTTTTTGTTCCAATGAGACAAAGTCAAGGAACACATTTCCATTCAACTGTGCTTGCCTTTTCAAACAATAATCCTCTAAATCAGGCCCTTGGGACCTATTAACTTGAAATACTATTGCGTTACTAGTCCTGAAAATAAGTGTTTGCCAGACGAGTGTGGTCCGCTAAACACATTTTGGACGAGACGTACGATAGTTTACGCCATAGGCCTACTAAACTAAATCTGTACAAATCCTTACATATTACCACCAACCAAAGGAGTAAAAATCAGTAGTCATAACCTCTAAGAGAGGTTATGTTTTTGTTTATAACTACTCATTGCCACCCAAATACAGTATAATCAGCTGATTGATGTCGGTAAAACTCATTACAATTCCTGTAGTTAGCAATAAATGCCCCATTTGATTAAGCTGGCAGCAAACATCTGTTTTCTGGACTAAATCCTTGCGTGGGAAGTTCGTCAAAATAGTGTAGTGTGGCGTAAAGTATATTAATTTACTTACCAGGGATAGACAGCTGCCAAGGGCAGATATGAGAAGAGGTTTCTTGTAACCAAAATGGCGAGTGACTGTTGGACCCATTAGTCCTACAATCAACATCAATCCTCCGAACACTAGTGTGCACAACTTTGTTGGGATATCCACCTGTTAAACATTGATTATTTAAATACGGTCAACAAAATAAATGTGCTATAGGTATCCGGTACTACATTTTGAGTGATATAATTGATATCAAAACAAACAACTTTTTTTAATCTATATTATTAAAAGAATTTGTTAGAATTTTGTGAGCAGCAAATCGACTGCAAAATATTTATGTTTATGGGCATATTGCGTATCAATTTAAAGCTCTTATACTCTATAGATATGCCTTTTCCAGGTTTGGATGATATCCCGTGAAAGCCCTTTGTCCTATAGGCTTTTAAAATTTCAGTGTTTGTGCTGAATTCTGTTGTAAATCATTACCGCAGGTTATATCATTACAGTTGGTGATGTTTTAGTGAATTCATAATGTTACTATTTGTATAAAAAGTAAAGAAGACAATTATTTAAGTTGGATTTCGTTTTTTTATAAGGTTTTTTGTTTTCATAGTACACGTTTCATTAATAGTTGGAAAAGCTAATTACAAAAGTTATGTTCAGGGTTTGCTTGAAAAAAAAAACAAATTAATGATGTGTGAAGTTAATGATTAAGTTATTACGTAAACAACAGATAATTTTCAACTTTAACTCAGAGCAATAGAAAATCGTAAATAATATAAAATATAAAATATAACTCAGATTTTGAAGTCATAAAGTGATGCCGGCTGCTAGTTATGTAGAAACGCGACTAAGTATGTATTTTATTACCAAAATATGAATAAAGGATGAAAATACAACAGAGTGAGAGGCCTTGTTTAGCTTTGTTACTGGGTAAGACCAGCTGTTTCTTTACCATCAGTTTTCAAACTATCAACAAAAACCTGTCAACTTCCAATTACTATCCAATTATTCAGGCTCTCTATAACCACTGAGCCACCTATTTCTGCCTACTTTGATGTTTGATGACTTTGAGTCTTTAGAAGTTATTTAGAGGTACTTCTAAACGACCTATTGATTTCCCAATCATAAAAATAAAACTACAACAGTAAATTAGTTTATTTGTTTATTATCAAATGGCTTACCTCAGCTAGATCAAATAATGATTCAGTGATTGACATGATCACAGGGACGCCAGACATCTGAAGGAAAAACAACAGTCCGCAGCTGATATACAAGGCTCGGATACTCGCTCTGTTTGAGAACAGGTCTCGAAAACCTCTCTTGCTCATCTTCATCTCTTCTACAGCTTTCTGTAATCATGTATTCTCAATAGATTCAAACAAAAAATACCTATTTTAATGTTTATGGGTGTTTTTAGAAGGGTTATTAAAGCTTTTAATTCTCCTTTTCATCATAAACTTTGTAATGTACATTTTGTTCCTCACCTTACTTATTTTGTTATTTTTGTCTTTTTGAACTTAGGCAGACATTTTATAATGTTTTTTTAAGAAGTAACTTAAAGGTTTTGTATGTTTTACTGTATTCACTGTCGTGTGTGCTTCACAAAACATACAAAGTTATTGTTATCTCACTAGAAAGTAGATGTGTCTTGTTTTTTTGAGGTACTAACTTGGTCCAAAAATCATATACATTAACTTACCGGGCTTACTTGCACTCATACAATGCAAGTAACAAAAAAACTTTTATTAAAAAAACAAAATAATTTGGACACTAAAATAACTTTTTTTTAAAATTAAAATTATAGTTCAAGCTTAATAGTAACATAATAACAGGCCTGTACAAAATATTTTATATTCTGTTTCTTAGGATTTACAACTGTATTAACTTAGATTGGTATTGGTTACGTAGTGAAAACATTCCTCTAATAATTTTATCCATCCACGAGTTCTTGTACTAAGCTGTTCATGTTTTTTTGAGGAAGTTTAGTTATACTTTTATATTCAGGGTTTGATTGGATGCTGAACATATTGATACAGAGTTTTGGGATGTCTTTTTCTATAGAAAAATATTTCTGTTAATCAGCAAACAGAATTCCTTCTCTAAAAAAGTCAATAAAACATTAAAGAGAAAAATATAGGAAAAAAGAGATAAGGTCTCATCATAGGAGTAACTAGGATGGCCCTAAGGGGGGGTTAAACCGGGCGTCTGGGTGGTATCCCTCAGAAAATTATTGAAAATTAGACCTGCAAACTCGTGTTTTTTTAGCTATTTAGAGACATAAAAGTGATTTTTTAACTGTAAAAAAATGTTAATCGGTAAAATCACATTTTAAGGTCAAGGGGAGTTTAAGGGGGGGGGGGTTTAAACCCCTAAAACCCCCATGGATACGCCAATGGATTTCATACCTCCCAGTAGTTGTGGTTCCCTAACCATTTTCTAAAGTGTGATGAAATCATGATAAAAAAGGAATTAAATGCTAAAACTTGTTGAAATCACGCATTTCCTTTACACGGTCGACATCAACTCAACACTAACCTGTATCAAATTAACTTCTGCTTGAACCGTCTCCTTAGACGCCCCTCGTCTGAGCCACTGGATGGTCTGAGTGGCTCTGTCTACCTTTCCTCTGGCCAGCAGCAGGTATGGCGACTCTGGTAAGAGGAAGAATATTAAGAGTGCAACGAGCGGAGCAGCAACACTGACTATGGCCAGCCCCACGTAGCTTACTTGCGGCCCTACTGCATACATGGTGAAGTAGCCTAGGGACCGAGATGCCAACGGTAGAGAGGCTAGGGTCCCTCGTATGTGGGGCTGAAAACATAAAAAATTGTTACAGCTCATAAAATAAAGTAATTAATTAATTTTAAAATGTTCTAAAAAATGTGCATGCAAATGTGATGTGGAATAACATGTGTGGGAATGGGATTCAAACAGATTATGGCATTGTATGGATTGTCAAATCTAAAGGCTGCTGGTTCGACTCCAAGTGGGTTTATTCAGATCTCAGGTGCCATTCATCATCGCGCTATGATATTAAAAGACGATTATCAAAAGGAGCAAAACACGTGGGTTAGAAAAACCACAAAATCATTTTACATATAAAGTATATATATTACTTTGGCTATCCTCAAAGTTCACTTGAAAGATGAATTATTAAATACGTGATCTTAAAAAAAATACCGTCAGTACGTTAGTGACTTGAAGTCAAAACTTGAATGTCAGACGTTTTACCATAGTCCAGTCTGCTGTACTAAGGCTGTATGTGAGATCACACGGAAGTGATAATTAAATTTGTATTTATGACTTCTTTAGTTGCCTCTATTTTAATGGAATTGTGTTGCTGCCATACCTGAACTTAATCCTTTTTTGCAAAGCATAGGACTATTCTAATTTTATTTCATACAGACCTTTTATAATTATAACATTTGTTTAGTCAAGAACAAGGAATCTTTTACGCAAATATTACCAATGCTGATATTATATCATGACTGTAAGAATAAAGTTCAAGTTCATGACTGGAGGTCAATGCTGATCTCTAACAACATGATTATAGTAAATGTGCATTAGCGGCTACTTATCTATCTATTGCCTTGTTTGTACTTGAAATTATTATGCTGCTATAAAAGATGACTTGAAGGTCATACAGAAAACAAAGAAGATGAGAGGCTTAGAAAATAAACATACAGATAGTACGGTACCACAAAGAGGTTTATTCTTTGTATTTATTTTCTAAAGCTCAGTCCATCCATGCAGTTCATCTGTGTTTATCATTTATCATTTCACTAAGACAGTGGCAAAGTAATGTGTTCTGTAAGTCGATTATAGATGGGTAAAGGGACAAGATGTGTTGGGAAGCTTTGTTACCGACTAATACTAGAAATTTTTTTAGTCAGGATCGTTTATTGAAAGCCCAATGATCATTGACAGTTGGGTGTATTGGGTTTTGCAACTTAATATTACAGGCTTAATATTGACTTACTGAAAATCTATTATGACAATTCCAATCATCTTATACCTATTCAAATGTTCCTCATCATTGGGCTTAAAATAGAATGATCCTGGCTAATGAAACAGCTGATCCTAGACAGTAACAACCATCACACTTCGTTCTACATTCATCCTTCACTCATATTTGGTTGAAATATGCACCTAGGTGGGGTCCCCATCTTAATTGGTAATATTTCGTAATGCTGTAATTTGTATTTTGTGAAATAAAGGCATTAAATTAAATAGTTGTGTTACAAAACTAACAGTGAAGGAAATACTCTTTAATTTCATATTATAAAGTTTTTCTGATCTGAGAGACCTGTCTTTTGATGTTTTTATAGACCTGCACTAATAAAGTCTCATAATAATTTATCTTGTTAAATTTGCTGTTTAACGTCATTCACTTTAATCACATTTAACTTTCCAAAGATAATGCTAGGCATTTAAAACTATTCAAAGTTTAAACTTCTGTTTTGCCTAGAAATACAAATCTTGTGTTTAAAAAATGTACCTAACAATGTACCTTAGTCTAGTGGTATGTCTAGTCTTACACAGTTAGAACAAGGAAACTAATTGCTGTAGTTACAACAATTAAACCATGCAGACGGCCCATTTGTTAATTATAAAGTAGTTAGATAAGAGAACAGTGTGAGACTTTTGTAATGGGATGAAAAACAAGTTTTAGTTGTTATAATTAAACTCACCATTTCAAGCTATCAAACAATTTTTTGCATTATCGTTATACAGAAATTAATGTCTTTAAAAATGATTGATCCATTTTCATAAATGACATGTGTAAAACACTATTTACCCAAACATATTCTTTTCTAAACAAAATTGTATTGGACAGTATCATCTTTGAACTCTCTTTATGAAATAGAGTCGTCTGTTTATTTATTATCTGTGTACCTGTGGAGTGTGAATGTCTTGCTCCTCTGAAGCAAAAACAACTTAAAACTGATTAGTCTGAAAATCTAAACAAATTATATTACAAACCTTGGCAAAATATAGATCTTTAGGTCCTTTGAATCTCCTTGAATGTCACCCTGAGGATTTTCAAGTTTTCAAGGAGCTGCTTTTGGAATTTTAATACTAGTTGGTTAATAGCAACATAAAGAAAACCCACAATACTTATTCATTTTGTTTTGCCACACAAATCAACTGGGAATAGAGAATTTTATAAAAATAATAAAATTCTACACTTAAGTTTGGTTAAATCAATTATGGTTGTCACGTACTTATTTTCTACTCTACATACGATGTGTTATTTATTCCTTTTTCCCCTCATGCATCCTCAAGCCACTTCAAAGAGTAAAATAACCAGTTTCTTAAATTAATGATTCATTTTCAACCTTGCAATAGTGTTTATACTCACATCTGATAGTTCAGCAATATACACTGGCAAAGCAGACACACTCATGCCAAAGGAGAAGCCTCCAATCACCCTGGCACAGTAGAGAACCTGAAATGTTGAAAGAGAATTTCTTTATAATCTTCCAAAGCAATCTTCCAATGTTATGTGTCATATTTTTTCTGACTTGAAGTGATAGTAAAGGTATAAACAGCTTGATTTTTGATAGTTTTTAACTTACATGTTAACGGCATAATTTTAAAGGTTTAATTTTAAGTTTAACGGCATAATGTTAACTTACAAGTTTACTCACACATAAAGTAATATTAAAGGTGTAAGAAACAAATTGAACTTATATTCTTAGCACGTGTGTGATGATGGCTGGCTTTAAGATATGATACAATACAATACAAAGTCCTTCTGTTGAAAGGTTACCCATCAACTTCATTTTTAGAAACCAAATTTCTATACACCTATATTCAATAAATAGATTGTTCAAGACCAACTTTATCTATAAGAATCATATATAACCATTCACTTAATCTGTTGATGTCTCTGCTCTTACCTGAGCGCTAGAGGCTACGGCCAGCAGAGCACAGCTGATGAGTAGGAACAGTATGATGAGGAAGGTGGTAGGCTTGCGACCCAGGGAGTCCAGAAGACATCCGCTGATGAGAGGTCCGAGGACTTGACCAATGGCAAAGCATGACACGAGCCAAGCCTCGTCAAGCCCCGCAGCGGCTCCCGAGAGGCGACTCCCTGCTTCTCGCAGGCGGGGAATAGCGGGAGAAGTCCACACATTGCTCTCGCCCACACCGAAGTACACGATGTTGACTGAGGACAGATGTAAGATTGGTTGAGTGTTTTGACCAATCTCAAGAACCAGGTGTTCCACAAAATAATAGTAGAATTTCATACATTAGCCATACAATATCGCTTTGTTTTAGCGTACAATATTCTACCTGTGTTTGTTGAATCGGCCATTAGTTTTACTCATAACTGGTGCAGAGATTTTTCATCTAACACTCATTATAACATATTCCACATCATAAAAGATACAACCAGTCAACTATGTATAGCAAAATTAAGTGTCTTGTGGATCATAAAATTATGCAACATTTGTTTATAAATCCTAAGTACTGTACACATCTGATTTTACTAAAAACAGATGTAGTTTTTAGTCATTTTTGGAACAGTAAACCACTTTTAAAGTGCACCAAGATATAATAGGAATGTTAAGTAACAATGGAAAACAGTAGGATAAACAGTAGGACACTATTTCAAATAGAATAGTTTTTTGTAAAACACCTTACACAAATTTTCTAGCAAAAAATGAGCTGACTAATTTTGAACTCATCTAGCCCAAATTAAGCCAAATGGTAAATTCAGACACGAAAACATGTGTAAAAAAAGTGTTACAATATTGTGGGAAACACGTGAGGAAAAAACCAATAGAATTCCAAGATCCCCTGAAACTGGTTGCAGGACTCGTAATTGACCAACCAGTTTGTGGTCAAGACCAAGGTCACAGGAGGATCCCTGACCCTAACTTTGTAACTAGGCTTATATAATGTTAATTGGCTGTGCAATCAAGGCCAATAGTTTGTTCATTTTTTAATTACACAATTACTTATTCTTGGTGCAGTATAAATGAATGAGTTTATTTATTTGAAATACCTATAATACGATATTTATAAATAATTTCTGAATTTTATAATTCAAATTACCAGGTACTAAATTAAAAATATACTGTGGGAAAATCTTAGAGTAAGCTGCACCAATTATCAATTATTTTATACAGGGACGCCACCTATGTGCTTTAAACCCAAAATATAAGTGAAGGATGAGTGTAGATTGGTGTGAGATGATATGTGTTGCTTTGTTATTGACTAAGATCAGTTGTTTCGCTGTTTCATCAGTCAGGATCATTTAATTTATTTAGCCCAATGATCAGGAACAGCTGGGGTTGTTTATAAATCTAATCACAGACCAAGTTAAATGTCATTACTTAATTTGCTCTCAACGAGTGGAAAGATGGGAACCAAATGAATAACAAATTATTTTAAAAGAGTCCAATCTCACGTATTAGACTTAATGAAAATCATAAAAAAAATATATTTTTAGACCTTCTATAATAATACATTAAGAACATAAATATGATACACATTCTAAAGCTTGTTTTGTATAAAATATTTTAGTGTATTTTAATTTTTCCATAATAGGGAAAATGAGAGAAAGTACCACTTTTAATACTGCTGAATGTAAAATTGTAAATGGAGAATCCCGATTTTGTATGTGATCGAATATCTATATAACCATAACTCTTGCTGCGGAGTGCACAGTACGCAACGCCCATAATAAAATTCAAACAGAAATTAGAAACATTTAAATGTAGAAACTATACAAAGAACAAAGACACCTCAATGTATATACTCACTTATTAAGGCGCTCAAGTAAAGATTTCTATAACTGATAGACTGTTCAGCTGCCATCCTTTATAATGTGTCACCTCCTAAAAAATGCATTGCGTAAGATTAATGACGATAAGTAAACCATCGAGTTGATGTTCTTTTACATAATAATTGGCTTGTTTCCAGATTTCTAGAATGCAAGTGACATAGTACCTTAGCTAGGATGTTCAAAAGCAAGTTTTGTCAGAAATAGTTATTTGTGTAACTAGTGGTGAAAGTGGCACTTTGCTGCACACGAGATCAATGTTTACGCACGAGCCGCAGGCGAGTGCGGAATGATCTCGAGTGCAGCAAAGGCCTTTTTCACTCGTGTTACACATTATATTTTTCCTACAGTCACTATAAAACATAAATAATTAGTCTTTCAAACACTATACAACACGTTTTTAGGTTCAGCTAGCAACACAATTACACAAATGGTGCCCTGGAGAAAGTAGTACCCGTGGTCCGTATCACTCCGCTATTTTTCCTCGGCAAGAAATGTGCTCCGTCTTTTGAGAATATAGTTCCGTATGTTTTTGTAATTTGAAGTGGTTTCCGCGCCTAAAAAAAATGCTTTAAAGGTATTTTCTTGTTTATTAAGACCGTAGGAATGTTTTAAAAACGTTTAAAAGAAAAGTCCAGAAAGTTCAGAAATACCAAAACTATAAACACGAAATGACAGGTTAAATCGTAGTTATAATAGTCAATCAGCTGTTCATAGTATTATTATCTTTAAGTGTTGCCAACCTATTTCCAAGCGTACGGATTACGTGCATAATAAAACCACGCTGTTTTGTGTTGTTTGGTTGGAATCCTGATGTGCGGCAAAGTATAAACCGTGCGGCAAAGTATAAACCGTGCGGCAAAGTATAAATATGCAGCAATTAGCAGCTTTCTGTACTATAAACAGTACAGGGAAGCCAACTTTGTCGGGGGACTGTAGGAAAAATATATCTAAAACCTAACAGAGGATAGAAAAAGCGTTGACTAGAAACAAAAAATCACTAAAGGCAGAAAAATACCTAGTGTGTTTGCAACATATTGTTTATACCATATACTCGATGCAATCGAATGAAATGCAGCCTATTGTCTTTGGTCAATGGTAGTATCATTAAAGTCAATGGTAGTTGCAGCAAGGGAATCATGTGTCTCTTAAAGGTACTTAAATATATTGTTTTTGTATTATTTCCTTGTCTAACACATCCTATACTATGTGAAGTTGTCATAACCCGTGAATTAAATAAACTTCATCACAGATTTGCCATCCTTATGAATCAGCCTGAAAGTTTTGCGGTATGGTATATTAAACTTGTGTCTGGTAGCTTGAGTTTGTTGATATTTTCTATTTATTTATTTCGATTTTAATAGTTTTTGAATAGTTACGACTAAATAAAATAGAACTTATTTAAAGTATTGCTTATGTCTATTGTAAAGTACTGCTTCGATGCCTATTACATTCTATACTTAATGGAAAATAAAGCATTTAATTTAATTCAATTTCAGGTTTTGTAACCAACAAGTACATTCACATTGCAAAATGTACAGCGTACCCTTAAATTGTTGGGGGAGAAACACATTGGTTGACAAGCGCTTTCAAAGGTAAGCATACATGAAATAAATACAAAAACAAACTCTTTAAGTCAAAACTTTAGATTTTACAAGAGCATTAAAATTCTACTTGCAGTAACCAAAAACAACGTACATTAACATCTGTACATAAAACTTCAATTTAAGATATTTAGCGAATTTCACCACGAACACAAATTGTATAAAAAGTAGGTTGGAAAAACAATTATTCAAATACAACAACTTAAGTACCAGACTACTGTGAGTTTAGATAATTGCAATTCCCCTGCCATTGGACCGACCTCGGGTTTCCCTGAAGTCAGAAAATGTTAACAGCAGCAGCCGTAGGTGCTAATTACAATTCAATGGACACCTTTACACCTCAGAGTACCACGTAATTCTATCCCGATACATTAGTTTATCTCCTTGTTTGATTTAAGAGTATACTATAAAGAGTGTAATTAATATAATTTTTGTGAAAGTTGCTAAAGGAAAAGTAGACCATCAAGTTGGGACTGGAATTCTTGCCAAGTTCCCCACAAAACCAGTTGTTGAACTGGGACTTTGAAACAATCGGTCATGTTTGCTAATCTGTCAAACAAGATCGCGATCTATACAGTAGTATATTGTTCCTTTTTAGAATATGATTACGTAGTTGAAAAACTTCTCCGATTTTTATTTGTCTTCAGTTTATACAGTTTATTGTAACCATTGTAACATTATCATAATAATCAGCAATGAAAGTTCATTATATGTTACAGTAGTTTTATTACTAGAAAAACTACCACTATGAGATTTTTTGCTGTCTTTGAAATTTCGCCTGAAATAGGTTTAAAATTGAAAAGGCCAAAAAGTAAAAAAGCTTTTGTTTGATTCTCGTAGAAATCCTTGTGTCGTCCATAATAATAATATAACATCTGAAACATATTAGGCTGTCTACGTGTAATTATTTTGGGGATTCAAGAGGATGGTTACGTTTTCCCTTCCCATCGAGATTTTTCCCGATTTAATTTAAACTATAAGGATAGGCTATAATGTTTTATGATTTATTTAATCTCCATCATAAACACAGTATTGTACCAGTATTTAAACTCTATGTCGTACAGTAAATGTATTCATTAATGTTATTTGCCTGAATCATATTTTAGAAAATATATTTATGATGAACACTTTCTACAATTGATATCATATTGATTTGAATACCCATAATTGAATATTAATTTGTTTAAGAAAATTCCATGATAAAAAAAAAAAAAAAAAAAAAAAAACATTAGTTCGCACTTTCGAGGGATTTATTCCCAACCAATGACCGGGTAATGTGAAATCACATTTTATGAGATCGAAAACGGATGTTGTTATCCCATCCACCCTCCAAAATATGACATCACGTTTCTAATATTTGGGGAAGGAAACTAGGAACATGTTATATGCATTTAACTTTTTTAGTACACCAAAGCTTAACATTGTCAAACATACCATGGTATAACTTGGTATAATTACGAAATTAACCTAAAATAAACACTAAGCAAACGACTTCCACCTTTTACAGTTACGTCAAACACCACAAAAGCTGTAAAACTCATTAGGAGATGAACTGCAAAGTTGACAGAGATATGGCACGTAAACAAAACCTTAGCCTTTCGTTGTGCAACCAAGGAAGATGGATCACTTTTAAACCTAGACATCACGTTTTAACAAGCGGTTTTGAGGAAATCCTCTTCAAAATAGGGCTTTAAAATACATTTCCGCTATAGAGATTGAGAAAACTCGATAGTGTTTGAAAATACGTTGAGAGTTAGTCATATAATGATTGAAAAATAGTTACTGTAGCAGGAAAGTTTCTGCACGCAATGGTTTGCGAAATCATTACCTGCAGAAGAATCATCACGCTTGCAGTCATATAGCATAAGTCTTTCATTTATCGAGCACGTAAATAAATACGGCCAGAAAATAAACGATAACATTTTTTAATTCTAGAAATGATAATACAATTTAAACAAAAAATTTATCCAAGTTGGGAAAAATAATATTCCCTAGTTGACATTCAAACGAACCACAGTACTATCAGGCTGATCATTACTAACGGCAGAATAATGTTTACCCACAGTATCCTAAGTTTAATGCTTATACGAAGAAAAGGAACCAGTTACAGTTACTTCTAGTTTAAACTATAATTTCGAGCAATGTCCACAAACGAGCAATGGATGGACGTGGTCTAAAATTTGACTCCATCTTTGCTTCGGACTAATTATACAATCGAGCTTTATTTCGGCATGTTATTACAATACTACGAGTCTTGGTTTAAGGGTTAACTTCACATCAAGGCCAAGAGTTCGAGGCCCGCATAATGAACAAACTTCGATTGTTCTGAATGAATTGGTTGTAGTAATTGTGACAAACTATCTCATTCGTACATTCTTTTATGTGTTTATGCTCTACATTAGACCAAAAATATACTGTACTGCCTATCGAGTCATATCTATCCAAATAAAATTCAGTGTGTATTTATTGTGTTTGCTTAACAGGACAGTGCCGTGTCCTTTAAGATTTAATACAAAAAATGACAGCACCCAATCCAATTGACATCCCAAATTCCCAATGAAGAATAAACACATAATCTCCTTCTTCAGGATCAAACGAACAATGTAATATCAGATTGAACAATGTAATCAAATTTTTTTATGCAACAGCCGATTAAGTTTAGTTTGTTAGGTGTGAAGTTCTGGAAGAAAAAGTCCTGTATGAGTTCAAAGCTGTTTTGAAAATATAATTTTAAAACCTCAATCTCATTTTTCCAGGAAAACATTTTTTGGATTGAAAGAATCACTGACATCGTTCTCGTCTTAGAACACTGAAGATAACCATTTCATCTTGAGGCTGAAAAGTTGTTGGATTTATGACAAGTTTTAAATCAATCAATATATGAAAATTAAATTAGATTTAGAACTATGCATTTGCTTGGCTCCTTGGCTGGTTTGCTTGTCAAATAACGTTTTGATTTTCATTAAATTCTGCCAGCGACTTGGCAATTTCATCATACTGTAATGAGATGCCCGGAACGCCGCTGTTTGATTTTCTGCGAGCCATAATTATTGAAAGCAAATCACTTGCAAACGAGATTTCATGAACTGGATATTTTTATCTCGGCAACTGGATCATCATCCTAATTACCTTCGTCGTCCGCGTCAACCGGTTTGCTCCTATCTGAAAGTGACATTATTTATTGTAATTCTGAAGATGCCACATACTTATCTGGCCAATTCTAATCCAGCTTAATCTGGCCACTGATAGATAGATAGATAGATAGATAGATAGATAACAGTGCTTTATTTTTCTGAATCGTTTACAAATTTACAGATTGTATTATTTTTATGCACAAAAGACAATAGTCATTTGACCGTCTGTCTGGTTGGCAAAGTCCACTTCCACTATCTAAATAAAATCAACACTGCACTGATATAAAAAATAATAAACATAAAAGCACTCACTTAAAAGCTAAAATAAAATTTAAACTAATTTACATTCATTCCAATTTTTTGAACTGCACCAAGGATTCTAATCTATTGCCTACACATACTAATACACATACCTACACATCATACTAGGCTATACTGTAAATACATACATACACACATACAAACATACAGATATATTCTAACATACAGTTTTTAGAGTTAAACCAAGAATTTCCTTTTACAGTAAACAGTTAAATAATAAATCTTTGAGATAAAAAGTATCATGAATGCTGAAACATAAAATACTGCTCTAATAAAATGAAAGGAAAAAAACAGAGTATATGATTGTTGAGATTCATCATCAAATAGCCTAGTATATAATGTTTTAAACTGCTTAATTCATGTATGCTTATTGTCACCTGTCGTTCAAAAGATTACCCTCGACTCGAATACCTTTAGAACAGAATATTCCCATCAAGTTAGGATTTTTAAAAATTAAATTCATTTATTAGCTCCCTCCTACGGACCCAGGCTGGCCACTGTTAAACCCCGTTCTTTCAATTCATCTCTTTATAGTTAAAAACGTAGTTTGAAGTAAATAATGCAAGTTACAAGGAAAATGCTGTCTTAAAACGTACCGATAAGCATCCATCTATAAACAAGTCGATCAGGGGTCGGGGTTAAGATTCTCATGTGATAGAAATGATCACGTAAAGCTAAACTAAGAAATCGTTGTATCATTGACTATAAACCCTAATCAGCCTCGCGCACACCAGCCAGTACAGTAGTACAGTGTAGTACTCAGAGTGATGTTGTTGTTTGATATTCATAATATTACAATACAGATTTTAAAATAAAAACAGCTTACTTGGAGTTTATGAAAATATTAACTCGAGACATTCGGCACAATTTTTCACTGTTAGGTAAGATTAAGGCTGGGCGCACACTGATCCAGCATTTCACCTGAAGCAAAATGTTGCACAACGATTTGCTTGAAGCGTTTTGTTTATTTGCTTCTCCAGTGTGCGGGAGGTTCAAGCATGATTCAGCATTTGGTTTCAAGCAAAATTAAGAAAAATAAATATTAGAATTACATATTATGTCTACTCGTCTTAACTGCAGTATTGTTTTAACATGTGACGAGGAAGTCGACTATTGATGTATGTCAGTTTTTGCAAAATGCTGGACTAAATAGAAAGACAACATTGGGTTCACCCAATCAAACTGTTGATAGACAGAAAGGCTTTCCTCTCAGAAATTAAATCAGATCCAGGGAAATTTTAAAATTATTGTTGAATAAATGCTAGCCTATACTATTTTATAGAAAGGGTTTTAAATACCGTAAGAAATTATTATTAGATAGTGTCGTGATGGTTATATAAATAGGCAATGATTGATGAACTGAATAACCATGGTAATTTCTTAATTATTTTACTACTTTGCATGACTACCAAAATGGTAGTAAGAAAAATTAATCCACAGTACTGTATAGTTCAATATAAATTCAAAATATATATATGTTAAGTTTTAACGCAACTTCTAAATTCATTTTTCAAAAAAGAGTTATTTTTTAATCAACAAACGGTCAATTGAATTTTGAAAGCCACTAAGATTTACTAGCTAGAAAGGATTTGGCGCATGCGCAGAACGTTTTGCTCCTTGAAACATCAAACATCGTGCTGTATGGGATCCATTCGTCGAGCAACTGCTCAAATGTTTCAAGGCGTTGTGAGGCGCCTCGCAACGTTTGCTTGATCAGTGTGCGGCGTCCCATTGAAATACATGGGGTGCTCGTACCCAGCGAAACATTTTGCCTCGCAACACTTGCTTCAGGTGAAATGCTTGATCTGTGTGCGTCCGGCCTAATACTAAGGCCGGCCGCACACTCATGCAGCATTTCACCTGAAGCAAGTGTTGCGAGGCGCCTCGCAACGCTTTTGAAACATTTGATCAGTTGCTCGACGAAAGGATCCCATACAGCAGTGTGCGCCCAGCCTCATAAAAACGTTTAAATAATCTTCATTGCTAAATATTAGTATTTAGTATGAATATGAATAATTAGTAGTTCCACGTATTAGCACAAGTATACGATTATAAAACATATATTTCTTCCTTAACTTTTCTACTAATCTACACTCGCGCTTTAAACATTTACTTACAAGACGGACAATAAAGTTATAACAGCCATCGATTTCGATCGGAAACTACCTATAACGAAAACTTTCGGAAGGCGCATTTTTATTACATTCGGTCATGTAGTGTTTGTAAAACCTAATAGCTTTTGAAAAAACAACAACATATTTTTATGATAATAGAAACGATTACAATGTGCTCCTGAAAATCGTGCATATCCCCAAGCTCAGACGGAAAGTTTAATCTTGAAGTGGGGGAAACATCAAATTGAATAGGTACCTATAAACATTCCACTCATTCGTTTACTCATTTATATAATTTGACCTAGATGACACAACTTACACAGATCCATTACAGCATATTAAATAAAGTATTTTAAACTCAGTTTTTTTTTACACAAACCTTAAAAGCCAATGGGGTGAAGACGTGAGGGTATATTTTGTGTTAACCAATAAAAGTTACATCTAAAAATCTATGAGTAGGCCTACGGTAATAGCTTTAATTTGATGCTATTTAGCCTATTGGTTAATGTATATGTGTTCAGAGTTAAGGAACCCTAATAAAACTGAGTAATTATTCAATAATATATCCAATTGATCTAAAAAGATGATTAAACTACTCTTCAAAATAATAAAGCTAAAACAATGAGGTTGATTGGGTAAACTTATTAATATTTTACTTAGTTATACATAATTTTACATACCGGCACCCCTAAACACAAATAAAAAACTCTACACTAAACTACTTTGTTAAGAAAAAAGTTGAAAAAGTTGAATTAATAAAAGTGTTAAAACAGTGCTTGAAAACCTAAGCACGAAAATAATAATAAACTGATAAAAAAATGTAAAGTGTACCTAAATAAAATTTAAAAATATTACGACTTTAACCTGAACACCAAGAAAAAAATTGAACAAATAATCTGGAAGAAGCCTTATTTGAAAAATTATGCTGTAAAACCTTAACATTCTTTTAACTACTGAAAAGGAATAATTTCAAAATTAGCAAAACAAAAATTTTGCAACAATATTAACAATAGTAATACAAAAAACAATAGTATTAAAATAGTAGAGTAAAAACTAACCTCGAATAGTAAACAAACTTCAGTGGTCCATGTGTATAACACCAAGCTACCACAACACTTGTAGACTACCGCACAGCTGAGCACCGACTCCACTACCACTGTCACTGTCCACTACCACGCGGTGGTCTACTACAGTAACAGTGGCTAGGCCGGGGAAAACCAGTTCCGCAGAACACGCGGGAGTTGACGACAATTTCCCCGGGAATCTCAACTGACCTATGAGTCAAGTGGACGCCGATGACGTCTACAAGCTAATCCCAGGGGTAGAAGTGAGGGAGGGGGAAGTACGTCAAGACTCGAGGGTAGACGACCCCTACGTCAAGCGTTTTTTGTCCAATTATGGGGTGGGAGTTCCGTAGGGGTTCCAGCCTGATGTTCTGCTTTGTCCTAGCTTGAAATGAAAACACTATCTATCTCGTTGTAGGCTTGCTGATGCTGATTGGCTTATGTTCGCCAAGTAGTAAAAAGGGTGCCGGTTTTAAATTATAATTGGACTAGTGAACCTGTGCGGCTCAATGCCCCGCAAAAACATATGAATTTAGAAAACAAATTCATCGTGTTATATACTGATATGTTATTCACTGACCTCTATATTTAAAAACTCAGTTGGATTTTCTAGATGGGTGCCTCTGCCTTCGACTGTTTTCGAGGACCCACTCTTCCCCTTGGCATACTGACAATTAATTACCTAACTTGTAAAGTTCATGTAGTAATTCATTAATACTGTTAGTTTATAAAGAAAATTAGATAAAAGGTACTTGGCTTGGTGCTTTCATAACTAACTGCAAACTCAAAATACACCCACAAGTAAAAAAGAATCAAGTTATTGGTAAAAAAAACTATGTTTGTGTAAAAACAATATTCACATGAAGTAGGTGATTAGTTTGTTTTCTCGATCAGCTGTTTCATTTCTAATAAATTAATAATGTCAAAGATTTGTGATTTTAAATACATCAATTATTATAGTAAAGTTTTCTAAATATGGTAACTTATTCTCAACTAAATTTTACTATTCCCAGCATGAAAATAAAGTAGTGAGATCCATTATGAGTAAAGTTTAAGGCACACAATCCTTGATTGAAATGTAGTATACATTAACAGTCATAATACACATCAATTATTATGTAGTAGACTTTGACTATTTTCAAGTAACAAACATATGTTTCTGTAAATAAAAATGATCTCCCTTGTTATCCTTATGGAGGAATACGAAACTTTAAAGGGCCCCAGGGCCTCACTCTCTAATTATTTCCTCAAAAAGAAGGTTTCCTGCACAACTTCACGTCACGCTCTTTCCAATGACACCAAAAACATGTCAATCGGTTCAATAATTTCGGAGGAGTAATTGTCACAAAAATCGTGCTTGCGTATTAAATAAGTATAGATTGACCTGCTTAATTGTTTTGCGTTAGCAAAGTAAAACAAGCTGGAAGTAGTTTGAGATGTTATCTTTACATAAAGAGTATTTTCGTTTTGTATCTTAGTTTGCTTTAATAATAGTGCAATATGACGAAAAATATTATGTACTATTTTACTTAAGAATTAAGCAGATGCACTGTTTTATGTCATAACTCAAACTCAACTCACTTTATTTACATTTTTTCAAACATAGAATAACAAATAAACATATGATTATTATTAACAGAAATCAACAGATGTTATGAAATAAACTGTTCTCACAACATCCTCCCTTTTAAGTTTGAAAGTTCTTCAACCAGCTTGGTTTGTGTATATTTCTCTTTGGACGGTTGTATGGTTCTGTGTTATGTGTATTCATGTTTTCCTCTCTTAAATAAGGGGCAAGTTTGAGATGGAATCGATTTCTTCTCACATTCCTCTTATCAGTTTCATCAATATATGAACGAGGGCTGTCCAGGATTTTCACAATTTTGCCATGTAAGGTTATAGTCAATGGTAAGGTCCACAATCCAAACTGGGTCTCCTTTTATGAAGAGGATTCAGTTTGCACTTTGTGCCTTCTATCATAGTTGTATTTATACTTCTCACGATATGTTTCTTCTCTCTCCTTAAGATCCTTTAGATCTGGTTTTCCACAAAGCAAAATTATTGAATCAATTCATAAACAGCTGCTTATTTATTTACATTAGCGGAATTGAAAATAGCCTGGAAGTCATTTTGAAAGGTTAATATTATTTTCGTTTTCTAGCTTAGTTTGTTTTGTTAATAATCATGCACTATGACGAAATAGTTCATCACACGGGCAAAAGTGTCATTTTGAGTACAGTAACATGGCCTATACTCCGTTTACAATATTTAGGCGGATTTGGGGAAGATCACCTCCACGTCTCTTGATCATAACAAAAACAGCTCAATAGTTGAGATTTGTCAAAACGACAATCGGATACAACATACACATAAAGAAAAAGGGGAACTTCCTCTCAAACTACCTAAATTTTGCGAACGGAAGGTTTTGTGAGCGGTTTTTTGGTTTCTTTTTTAATTTGTGTTTTTTTTGCGTAGTATTTCATTCAAAAACTATATGAATTGCTTTTAGACAACAAAGTAATGTGAAACATTTTTTACGCCAGTTCAAAAGAGACAAAGATAAGATACTAAAAAATATATAGAGTGGTTTCTTTTTTAATTTTAGCGAATTTCCCATATAGGGAATAAGCTATTACCGTAGTACTCATGGTAAGACCTGGACGCGGGACCGATTTTTTTTTTCGTTTTGAGGTCCCTAGAGGCCAAAAACACCATCCGTTCAAATTCATATATATATATATTTATATATTTATACATTTATATATATATATATATATATATATATATGTATGTGTCCGTTAGCACGATAACTCGAGCAAAACTGATCCGATTTTGACGCTTTTTGTACAAATGTGTAAACCTACATAAAAGGTCGATTCACACACATCAGTCCAGTCACAGTTCCGTTACAGTCCAGTTGCAGTCCAGTTACAGTCCAGTCACAGTTGCATCCGCAATTTCTCAGTCAATTGTCCGTCAGTTGGTTTCAGTCAGTCTTCCGTCTCTAATATTTAAAGTAATTTACAGTCAACAAATTTAAATTTTAAACCTATATTCTATAAAATTATCATTGTCCATCTTGATGATTGTTACAAAGAGTACTCAAAATGCAAACGCAACCATTAAAATAACAATAACACTATTTTCTAACCTCAAACAGTTCCGTCAGGCGTCCGAACAATCAAAAAGTATCGTTGGAAAGAAATCTGAAATTGACTGACGGATGCCAGCAGAGTGACTGACGGGACTGCAACGGATGAGTGTAGATAGCGCAATAGAAAATCCATCAAAGAATATTTTTGTTAATTGTGACGTGCCTGAAGTGACTTTACTGTGACGTGCCGTAACTGATGTGTGTGAATCGACCTTTATTCGAACGAGTTCGCGATCCAGCATGATCGGACTATGGGAACGGGGGTTTACGGGGGGTTTATGGGGTAAAAATATGTTTTTCCCATTTTTGACCCAAAAAACATAAAATTTAGCAATTTCTTTCCAAACCATTTTGTAGAGATTAAAAAAACAAATAATTTAGTATATTGAAGCGTTATTATGCGCCTAATGGTTACGGAGAAAATTCCAAAAAATTGTAAATTTAAAATTCCCATGTTATTATTATGGAAAATAAGTAAACTGTTGTAGTTTGCTTGTTTATGAACATATTTTGATCAAATTTGGAAAATGTTTTTATTTTTTACTAACTATTAACATTTTACAAAATAACAGTTTTACCCTCCCTGATGCAGCAAACCTAAGTACTTGTTAAAATAATTCTATTTAAATCGGGAATAAATGTTATATTTTTAAGTAGACATTTCAGTATAGATCCAATCAGTCAAATGGAAATTCGCTTAGTCTGCAGGTTTGCTGCGGCGGGGGTATTAGGAAATTGTTTCATTTCTCGACATTGTTTGTATCTGTATGTTCTTTCCCTCTTGAAGGCTGCATTGGATTACAGACCCAGAAACGCTACAAATCTTGTGTTTTGATCAGCAATAATCCTTTTAGCACAAACCAATTTAACAGCATGATAATCTGACCGTGAAAACATTAAAGTTTGACTTGTTTATGTTTAAAACGTGACACAACGCAAAACAGAACTTAAACAAAAAAAAAATAGAGATAAAACACGACTCAATGCAGAAACTGTTTGGTGAAAAATTAACAAATATCTATAAGCCAATTAATTATTGATTTTAAATCACTTGTTGAAGCTAATACAGAATTAGATCGTGATCTGTGTAGGCTGTATTTGAATATTTGTAGGCCGATTGTAAATATCGACGTTATCTAGTCTAATGAATCCAATCCAACTTACAGATTACAGCAGCAATATGACGTGGATCATACACCATCATACATTAAATCATGTCATTCAATAATTATTTATTGAATTTTCAACCTTTGAGGCTATAACCTCTCTCATAATTTGACATATGTCCGTGATTATGTGACGTTATGAAATTTACTACAAGTTGCTTTGCCTTTGCTTACAAGTTCGTGAAGTTTTGCGCAATTCTGCAAGACTAACATTGGAACAGTAATGTGGTAATATTTTTGGATAAGCTGATAAACAGTTCAAATTCTGTTAGGCTATGGAAAAACTACTTTCAAAATAAAAATAAAGCATTCTTAGGATATAAAACATCTATATATCTAATTCTGTAAGCCCAAAATTTTACAATGAAATTGTGAGTGAACGGGAGGCCGTAGAAAGCTGGGAGAGGTCTCATTTTAAAGGTCTGGGCATGAAATTTTGGGGAAAATTAGCCATTTTCCTTAATTATGTACCAAAAGGTTATTACGGAATAAATTAATTCTCATTTAAATAGCATGGGAATCCAAGGTCATGTCTGCTTTGTTTACTTTAAAACATGTGGTTTAACTTTATTTAAAGCATATGGTAATTTGTAATATGTACTGTAATATGTATACTACTGTATTATAAAGCTGAAATAGACTTTTTTACAATTTTAAGGATCTGAATCAGTTAGTTAATGGAGTACGATTGGTTGTGTTAAGTATGTCTGAAAAAAGTTAGAAGGAATTACTGGAGTAGGCAAAGGGAACATATTTTTGATGCCAAAATAAAACTAATATCTACAGATGCTAATATATGCCGTTTAAGTTTACAAGGATTCAA